TCCTGGAGAGTATCGGTCACAAATTTCCTTATCATGTCCAGCCAACCAGAATCCGCCTGAAGCGTTGAAGCACTCGCTAGTGAAACCATTATGTCACACAAGGTTAAGTTCAGCAAAAGATGGTCTACGTTGTTTGATGATGTCGTACAATACTTGTTGCTAATGAGGAGCAGAAAGAAAAAGAAACGTCTGAAAAAATATTCCACATCTTCCAATATGCTGCTACTTTGGCAGGGAAAAATAAATAAATGCCGAAGTTCTAACGCGAACACAAGTCTTCGTATCTGACTTTCACACCATGTTCAGGTAAATTAGTCTTTGTTCTGCCACCATGATGTCTCTTTCTTGTATTTATTGTGGCAGGAAGAATCAAAGCTCCAAACTGTGTCCCTTGGACATTTTTATCTTGGCCTAGCAGCACTTCTGATTGCCTTAAACAGGAAAAGGAACACTGCAAAATTACTCCTCACTTTCAAATTCTCTCGCATTTCTTTTTCTGAGAAGAATCACACTGTCACTACCACATAACAACAAAAAGCACTGTGAACAGAGAAAAATTCATTCTTGTACCTTTTTACAAATTCCTGTGGAATAAGTAATCTATTTGTCACCATCACCACATCCTACCAAGGTTTGAAAGTCAAAATTGAGAGTTACCAAGAAATTTATCTGCAGAAAGCTGCAAACAGGAATGCTTACAATCAGAACACAGTTTTGAAAATGACGTAACAGAGCATTTGAAACTGCATGAAAGTGCAGTTAGTCTTCAATTCAATACAGTTGTTACTATAAAATGAAGTGAACCTCAACCTATGAGCATCATTTACAGCCTGCATAAATGCTAGTAATTTTTTTCACATTCAGAAAATGTTGACTTAAATGCTACCAGTACTACTAAGAGAAATTTCTACAACATTTTGTGAACTTTATGTACTGAACGGGCAAATTTTAGCTGAAATAAAAGTACTTAACTGGGAGCAATCCTATACCTCTGATATATATGCCCTTCCATGAAGGGAAAACACAGTACATACATATAAATATATAAATACCAAAGAGGATTTTAATATGCATGCAGATATACATGCACTGTGGAAGACTCTAGCATAAAACAAGATTCTACTTCTACACCTCAATTTTCAGTAGCACAATTTGCTTTTATTTGGAACCAAAACTGGCTGCTACCATTTACATGGATTGCAATGGCAGAGAACAACTCCAGAACAGACCCTGTGCGAACACAGTCAGACTTCTGGGAGCTGAAAAGGCAGACAGTCTGCTACTGGCCTAACAAAAACCACATACCCACTCTTATGCTAAGAACAGCATAAGTTCGTTCATTCTCTCCATGCCTACTCCACACTGCCTTCACAGAATCACAGAATCACAAGGTTGGAAACGACCTGCAAGATCATCTAGTCCAACCACCCTCCCATTCCTATCAGTACCACAAGCCACTAAACCATATCTCGCAGCTCCTCATCCAGGCGCCTCTTGAACACTGCCAGGGACGGCGACTCCACCACCTCCCTGGGCAGCCATTCCAGTACCTGACCACCCTCTGAGAGAAAAAGTTCCTCCTAATGTCCAACCTAAACCTCCTCTGGTATAACTTCTGGCCTTTTCCTTGGGTCCTACTATTTGCCTGGGAGAAGAGGCCAGACCCTTTTGCACCACATCCTCCCTTCAGGAAGTTGTGAAGTGCAATGAGGTCTCCCCTGAGCCTCCTCTTCTCCAGACTGAACAATCCCAGCTCCCTCAGCCGCTCCTCATAAGATTTGTGCTCCAGACCCCTCACCAGTTTTGTTGCCCTTCTCTGGACACGTTCCAGGGTCTCAATGTCTTTCTTGTGGTGAGGGGCCCAAAACTGAACACAATACTCGAGGTGCGGCCTCACCAGTGCTGAGTACAGGGGGACAATCACCTCCCTGCTCCTGCTGGCCGCTCTATTTCTAATGCAGGCCAGGATGCCGTTGGCCCTCTTGGCCACCTGGGCACACTGCTGGCTAATGTTCAGAACCACAAAGGTCAAGCACAACGTGACCCATGCACCCAACTGGCTGTACTCATCCAGCAGATGCGGCTGAAGAAGCATGCTTTAACCATATTTTGAAGCAATTAAGCAGAGAAAATAGAACTATAAAACTAGTGAAATTAACATGGATCCCCATTAAACAATATGCAAACTTCAGATTAAAGCTTCCAATAAAATGCTTTCATTTCTTTAGAACAGCATTTTTGTTTCTACTGGAGGACACTGAGATGACTTCTGATCCAATGCTTTTAACAAGCGGAACCAAAACCCTCTGGTTGCACAGACCTTCCAAAGAGCAAACAATAAAAACAGCTTTACAACATCAGAAACTTAATATCAGATAAGACTCACACATATTGTCTCATTTTATGAAACTAAAAGCTGTGACACAACGCTGAGTTTATTCTTACCCTTTGCACAAATCTTTCTTCTTGTGTTTCACTGTTTCTTGTAAAGAATAAGGAAAATTACGCATGAAGTGGTGCTTGAAATCAACAAGGTAATTCATTCGAAGCCATACTTCCTATTAAGGAAAGCAGATGACAGAAAATAATAAATAAGTAAAAAACATCATGCACAAACTTGAAGGTTCACAAAACATGGGATACAATTCAAGACTATAACATTTAATCCAAAATGGACTGGTATGTGTTCCTAGCACACACTAATGTGGATATATGCAATATTAAACCAATGCAGTTAAAAATATCAATTTAAAATGCTTTTACATTAGTTTATAAGAGTGATACTCTGAGTTACTTGCTGTGACTGTCTTAAATTTTCCACTAAGACATATTCTGACAATGCCTTCATCTTCCCCATTATTAACACATTTCTAGTTCAAACCCTGATGACTTAAGACAACTTCCATTAAGGAGTCTATTCTTACAGAAAAAGGTTATTATATTCAAAAATAATTGTACCTTGTGGGTTAACAGACACTCCAGTCACTGTTCCACACACACACAAAAGCCTGCATTGCTAGCATATTGGTCAGGCACAGTAATCTTTATTTTCAAGTACTAAGAAAATGACCATCATACTATTTCAAAGATTAACAGGCACATTCAGAGCACTTTTACAAAATGTCTCTAATAACCCCTTCGGCTCTTAAAGGCTAAGGACTTTTTAAATAAGCAAAACTTTCATTTCCAAACTGAGCTCTATTTGAATACACCTTATATACAAATGTGACTAAAAGGGAATAGAGAGGATGCAATTATAAAACACAGTATCCTCAAAAAATAAGTTATACAGTCATTGTTTTTTTTTAAATACCCCAAGGTCACAATGCAATTGTATGTACATAAAATGTCTCACTCCATGACACGAGTACGCCTTTCATGTGACCAAGAGGCAGGTACTTGACAGCGAAGGGCAGCAGCCCTGAAGTAACCTAAAGAAAAAGGTCACAGCAGCAGGCTGCCACAGCCTCCTTTCTGCCTGCTTCCAAGAAGTCCTGACGAAAGGATGAAAAGGTAAACGGGAACAGCGTGCTTTGTTTGGACACTCCAAATTCATCCCTCAGACAGTGTATGTTGGCTAATACTGGTCTAGTGAGTTGATTCCACAATTTTTTTCCAGTAATTATTCTGTATGTTCTGTATACAGAACAGTTCTACAATCCTATATGCACACAAAACCAAAGAGCTGTAAAGATGTTCCTTCCAACTGGTCTCAAGAACCAACATGGGAAGTGTGCACTTTACAAGGTCTTCTGAAGAGCAGCAGAAGTTACAAAAAGGCAATCCATTTACCAAGAGACAAATCAGAGCAAAAGTTTCAAGGGTGTTTTCCAAAATACTTGAGGCTTCAATTTGGTGCCATGGGTGATGCCACCAGTCATGGCACAGCAGTGTAAATTCTACCAGTCAGTTAGAGGACTTCAGTCCACCAATGTCCCTTACCTTTCCAAAGACTTAGGGTTTGTTTTCACCTCTGCTTCTCCAATGTGTAAAACTTTTCCAAGTGTAAAAAGAATGAACACCTCCATATTTCCTCAGATTTATATTCTAGAAGTTACCTGGGAGATAACGCTTCTCTCCTACAGTATGAATTTCAGTCTTAAAACCTTCCATGCTGCAGTCACTAAGGATTCCTGGAGACTACTGCTGAACTGAGCAATGAATTCACTGGTTTCTTTCCTAAAGACTTTAAAACAAAAAAAAATCCAAGGCTTTTTGTCTCTTACTAAACAAAATACTTCCACTACTTACAGTCACCAACTCAACAACCAACTCATCGGTTTCTGATCAAAACAAATATGAACTGTCATCATTAATGCCACATTTCAGTTCTCCCTTACCATTTTGTATGTTTCATCGTGCCGCTTTGTGAGCTTCCACAACAAATGTATTATACTAAGCACTTGCTGCATAAGTTGTTGACAATCTGATTCCAAAAGATTTCCGAGAATGGGAGCTGATTGTGCAGGAGATGCTTCAATCCAGCACTCAATCAGTAATGGAATTATTATCTCAATAAAACCTTTTAAATTTTCAGCCGAGGACAGGCCTTTTTCTGCACTGTCCATTACACTTGCCAGAGACCTACGACAAAAAGCAGAAAAAAAGAAAAAAAGAAAAAAAAAAAAATAAAGATCACACCTTTGAAAACAGTTTAGAGCAAAACCACTTTCCTGCTTTCTTTATACCAAAAAAAAAATATAATTTTAACACATAAAATTTGCCTTTTTTCTTGCTAGATATTCAATTTGAAAGGGAGTTCAAACCAACTACAACAAACCTGGTCCTGAGTCTCCCCACAAATATGTGTTTCTAGAACAGCTTGTTACATGTCATTATTTCACTTCCCATTCTTACATGTAGTCTATAGAAAAGGGAGAAATACGACTTGCATTATCATATCACCTTCAAGCAATAGATGAGATTCCACTGTGCTCAGCAGGACAGAATAAAAAAAGCTGTAAGTCCCTTGAAACAAAATAATTAAACTGACTACAAAGTATTGTCAAACACACGAGGTTTATTACAGTTATTGCTGACGATCATTATTAATAAACACAATGGTTGTTCATAACCATAGAAAAATAGTTAAGAAAAAACATAATCAATTACCACTGTGATGGTTTAAATCAAAATAAAACTCTGAAGAGTGACTAGCTCCTGAAGTTATTAAAATGTCTTGGTAATGAAGACAAATAAAAATTATCCAAAAATGAAGAGATAGATTAAACTAAATATATATACTGAATATCCTAGAAAGTAAGAAAAACAAGCTTCTCAGAATACTTCTTAGTCCAAAAGAGATTATCCACACTGACGGCAAAATTCTGCTCCCAGATAAATTCAGACAATTTATATCCATTCTGTAAAGAAAATTCTTTAAAGAAAGTAACTACTGAAGAACTTCTGCTGTTTTGATGCAATACAAAAGCTTCTGAATGGGCTCCTAAACAACAGAAGGACACCTGAAGTGAGGAAAAAAAGCAACGCAGAAGAGCAATAACAACTTCAACTTATAATCGCTGGCGCTGCATTCCATGATAATTTTTTCCACAAAATGCTCATAGTAAGGAATTCCCCTAATTCTGAACTCCTAATACAAATAAAAATTGTATGTTGGATTTCCCACTAAATCCCTTTCTATTTCAATGATATTCCCAAAGATACTTCTACTTATGAATTCAAAATGAGATCTGAATCACTACCTGCTTTCTTGCCACAGATTGTTTATAAATATTTCAATTTCAGATTGGATTAAAGAGATAAAGCTGCTTTCTGTGGTCATTCTGCAACTTCCAAACTACCCAATTAGTTACACCTTTCCAGGACATTCCCCTCTCCTTCCAAACTCGGCAGTAGCAGTAGCAACCAATGTGTCCAGCCAACTTAATTAAGCTTTGCTCCTATTAAATTAAAGCATTTGATGTTAATTGTCTACCAGCTATAGACATCACAGTGAAGCCATCAGTTTCTTTCACACTACAAAGTTTAGGTAAGTCCAGGGTAGACATGCAAAGACATGGCAGACAAATCCAGTGTGGCCAGTTATGGCTGTCATGAGTCTCCAAGCATCGCTGGACAAGAAAGTCAGTATCTGCTGACACCTGTAATTTTACTGAACAGTGTTGTTTTTAATGACCTAATAAGGCTTGAATGAAATAGTATAGTGTCAGTAGTTGGCTAACATAGTTTGGAAGTCTTTTTTCTTCATCATTTCCCTGAAAATTATATCTGGTATCACAGCAGAGCTCTGGCTATATCTGGTATCACAGCAGAGCTCTGGCATTAGAGCAATCTACACTGGAAAAATTACCTTGTTAAACAAGTAGCACAAAACATGAGAAGTCGGCAACACCTGAATATTCCTACCGTAGTACAATAATGCACAACCAGCTATTTTAATAGATACCTGAAACAAGGAATGGGGGAAAACAAAAACAAAAACTTTAAGAAGAGAGAATCAGTAACAAAATGGACTCAACCAAATGCTGAAAGTGTCTGGGCAGAACTTTCATGTCACCCGGACAAAAGAAGCCCATACATCTCAAGATATTCTTTTTCACACATTCAAGATTGACAGCAAAAGCGGTAAATAAAATTTTGCTGACAGTAACAGATTACAAGTTTAAGTGTAATCTGTTCAGCATGCATCTGATGAGTGCAATATCCTTTGCCAACAAGCGGTCACTGGAACAAGGAAAGTTTGATGCCAAATGAAGTGCTGACCTTTTTGTCACATGTTCATTATCAGTATTCTCTAACAGTAGCGTGGCTCTGAGAAACACCAGAAAGCACATTACCTTCACACAGGGATAAAATATCACTGAGGGGAGCTGTCAGATACTCATATACATAAGCCGTTAAGCTGTCATTTCTCTTAAAATGCTAATATTCTTATGAAAAATATCAAACAAAAGCATTTATCTTCATGGTAGCTTATCTGCAACTTGAGAGTAGGAGAGTAAAAGAAATTTTGGAAAGTCAAGGAAGCACAAAAGAAACAGAAAAAAGGAAACCAACTGCCAGCTGCTAAAAATAGGAAGCCACTGGAAATTAGCAATTTTTTTTTCAATCTTGAAGTCAGATTACGGGAGCTCCTCTTCCTTACAGGCACCTCCATCATCAACTCTAGAAGAAAAACACTCAGCTGTATTCCCCACATCTGCCTATTCCGATACACAGGTCACAGCACATATTTACTACGTCGTGTCTTCCACTTAGGCCACTCAAGTCTTCTCCAGTTTACTACGCAGCTTCAGTTTGTCCTTTCTCAGCAGGAACAGATGCTCTACTGTTTTGCTTCAGTACCATTTCCAGTCCAAAACAAGACCGTGGTATCCCAAAATCAAGTTGTGCAGGCTTTCCATTTTCCCAAACCTGAAATGAATTTGATGCAGAAGGCAGCAGTCAGCACATAATGCAGAGAACATCCCATTAGTTTCCTAACTTATTAAGATTTTTTATTCACATATAGTAGGAAGACGTAACACACAACGAAAAACAACAGTCTTATGATGTTCACTACTGAAATATTCAGCATTCCAAGCTCAGAAGAGATCTACACAGTTTACCAAGCACTGACACTGCTGTTTTGAAACTCTTGTTCTGCAAGCACTAGATTATCTAGGATTTGGCACCCCTACCTGTAGAACTTCCAAGAGAAACATAACTTGGCAGCTAAAAATATATACATTATTGGAGATATTTGTACTTTTTAAAGAATAAAGTTAAAACTTATTCCTGCATGTTTTTAAAAACCTCTTGGATGTGGTTCTCAGGTACATGATTTAGTGGAGGGTTGTTAGTTAGGGTACTATGGCTGGGTTGTGATCTTTTCCAACCTGAGCAATTCTATGATTCTAGGAGACCTTTTATCATCAGTGCACACACATAATGCCATTATAGCCACTTCTGGTTTGTTTGACTCTTCCCTACATATAGTTAAGGCTTTTCTGCATTGACTTCTTCAAAGAAAAATAGAAAAATACACTGTTTAAGATCTTAGAAGTCTTCAAAGAGCATTAAAGCATTAAAAACCTTTCACACCTCTTACTTGAGATTATTTTTGCCCCTGCAGTAATGGTCACAGCAAAGGCAAAAGGAACGGGAATGACTGTCAAAAGCCATTGCTGGGATTGAATGAGAAAGAACTAAGCTTCTTCAGATTACTAGAAAAGATTTCAGAGAAGGGCTTCATGCTGTAGGTATCTACACTGTTTCTCACAGCAAATCCAAAAGCTAGCAGAATACCTTTTGCTCTTAACATACCATGCATATCCAGTAAAATAAACTTTATGGGCCCTTTAAATAATAATAACAACAAAAAAAAAAAGATTACACCAAAACAGTGAGCATACGCAATAAAAAGAGAAATATTCAAGTACCTTGTACATGTATTCTTTCTCTTTCCATTCTTCTGTTCTGCTGCCATCAGTTTTCTCTGCCAACTTTGCCTTGGATGTTAGCAATGTTTCCTTCTACTCTTCTGGCTCCTCCTCATGCTTGCAAATGGCTTTTTGAAAGTATTTATAACCAGAAGCGGATCACGATGTTTCACCGAAATCTAGCTCCTCAGAAAAGGGGAATCCAATTCAGGTGACACCAGATGTAAAAGTTTACTTTCCTAGACCTTGGATACAATGCACCTTTAACTACTAGAGGGCACAGAACATCACACACTGTGCATGATTCAGTGCACAATACAAGAATCCCCTGATATTCTGTGGTCTGTAACTGTATGATGCTGACTGTACAGATGAAATCCTTAGGGCTGTTTTTCACTCAGCTGCCTCAAGACTGGCTTTCACTGCAGCAGATACTCTTGGTTGTGACTTATGCTACTTACAACCACTTTCATAAGAACAAGCAGCATATTTTATTTAGTTTCATGTAAGTGTCCTATACCTACTGTAAGTAATCCACTCTCTACCAAGAGGAAGCCTAAGAGAATAGGAACGGAACAGTCATTCGCGTGTCACCGGCATGGAGATGGAGAAGATCTGCTAATTCACACCAATACCTATGGCATTAGAAGAGAACACCACTTCTTCTGTGCCTCCTTCAAAGATAGGAGGTAGGCATAATGATGGATTGAACAGTGGGTTTTATATATTTTTTTCTGTCACTGACCTCCTTGGATGAATTTGGTAAAACCCACTTTAGTGTAGTTGGTCTTCCCTAGCAGTAAAACAAGGGTTGTGATTTCTCTTCAAACCTCTTTGAAATCTATTAACTAGAAGTGCTGTGTAACAGCTAAACACCATTTCTTTTTATTTTCAGGTAGATCATTCCAGGTGTTCTATCACCACGTATGTAACATCTACAGAAGCACATATACATGATGATGGCAACACACATAAGAAAACAGCTGGGGAGGGAATGTTCCCCTCTGGTTTGAGGAGCAGTTGAATAAGGAAGGAGGGAGATAAACAAATATTGTTAGTTATTTCTCCCTAAACTTCACCTCAGACCTACCTAGAGTTACTATAAACCACACGGACCTTTCTGTGATGAAACAAATTATGCCTTTTTCCACTTTCAATAACGTGTCTTGGAAGAAACACCTTTTATTCATAGTAAAGATATAAACTGATGAATTAAGAACACCTCCAACTGGAAACTCAGCAGACATACTATTTTGCAAAGAAGTTACTTTAAAATGAAGAAATTAAGATTCCTTTTAACGCTGTTATACTCTCCATGGTAAAAGCATAAAATTTCAGTCAAATTCATTATCACTGTGTAACAAACACATTTACATTTAGTACAGAGAAATCCGTTTGCTTGCCCCTCCACTTATCTGACAGCCTGAAATAACTTGTAGTCTTCGGTTTGCAATCCAAAAAAAACACTCAAGAGTTGCTCTTCCAGTATTATAATACCATAAAGCTTTAATTTGCTAGCAAGAAAGTTCATTATCTACACACAGCCCACTCATCTGCCGACTATTTCCAGTTTTCAAGCTACTACAGTAAAACTGCACATTACCCTGAATGCCCCAAAAGACTCTTCAGAGGCAATGTCTCAACAAGAATAGTTGCTTTCAACAGCTATAAGCCAGCTTATCATAAATCATTATTGTAGAGCTGACATTGACTTATTTTGGAATTAATGTTTTCTCACCTCAATCTAAACGATGAGTTCATCTTTGGTCGTAAGCCACCATTTTCATACAGATGTATGTGTTGTTGATTATTTGCATGGACCTTCCAGCTAATAAATATCGGGCTCCTCACAGAATGAGGGCTATCCCTTTGCTCTTGAAGTCCCTCATCTTCTATTTCACTGGATCCATCAACCACTGCCTGAAGGAACTTCTTGAGCCTGATAAGTACATTTAACCTCCACTGCTGAGATGTTACTCTGCGGTTTGGGTTAACAGACAGCATCCAGGAAAGTTTCTCTTTGCTTTTCAGTCTTTTTGACAGTTGCTGGTGAGAAATAAGCTCTACAAAATTCTTCAGTAATATACTACTGCGGTCTGTAAGAAGAGCTGGGTATGCTTCCAATAAAACGTCCAGGACTTTCAGTGAATCTTCCTGAATTCCTTCGCTGATGTGAGTCATGGCACTGGAGAGATGGGCACTTACCAAAGGAAAAAACGGAGCAATCTGCTCAGCTCTTATTTTTGAAGCCAAGAACTGAAGCAGGTGAACAGCCGCTCCCCTGACACCAGAATCTTTGTCTGTAAACACTGCTGCCACTTCACTAATTATATTTGAAAGGTGTGCATCAATTAGAAACGGATACTGAGACAGGAGATCTTTGAGCCCAAGGAGTGCATTGTGTTTAACCCCAGGACTATAATGGTGCATCTGCGAAAGTAAATCCTGGAAGAAAAGAAACATATTCGTTATCATTACTACTCTGAGCTTTTTACTTCCTTACCCACCTTCTAGTTCTTTTTTTTTTTTTTGCCAAACACTAAAAAATACAGAATCTGTTCCAATGCACTGCTGTGTGCAGAAGCATAGTACTTTCAAAACAAATACGCTATTGGTTTGTGGTGTAGCAATGAACAAATCAGCAATATTCAAAAACAGGAAAAACAAGATACCACAACCTGTTCTTCAGGTAACAAGATAACTTTCATACATAAGTAAACACACAACCCTACTAACTTAGTAGAGGTTCTGAAACCCTGCTCTTATTTTATAACCTCAGACTTTCAAAAACAGCATTAATCCCTGATACTTAGAAGACGATGCAACTTCAGCTTTCCATTGCTGAAAAGCCTAGCCTTGAGTTATATGCAGGCCCAGCAATTTCAGACATTTAGTTCAAGGGTCAGCTTAGTTTTGTGTCTCATTGCTTTTTTTAAATACACCTTTTTTTTTCTTAGACGCTAGTAACTATAAGGACTCAGGCAAATGTCATTATCTGTCATCCAGGATGTATCACCCACCACGTACCTTTATGTTAAGTTTTCTGTTCTGTGCAGTAAGCATTCCATCTTCTTTAAGCTGTTCAGGAATTTGTATGGCCTTTGTTTTGAAAGTGGTATCAGTTGCATTTTCTAGTTTAGGCTTTTTTTTCCCAACTTTTAATTTCACTTTCTGGAAGTCTTCTTGATGTTTCCTTTTTTTAGTCATCCTGATTCTCTGCAAAAAGACATCCAGAATTTCAATGTGATTAAACGCATTTTCCACCAAAGAGCAGTGAACTGCTGGTGAAAGCTACAGTTTTTACATATTTCCTCTGCATAAACTACTGCAGACCAGACGCTAGGCTAAACAGACCTAAAACCCCTTATCTTCAATTCGGCTGTCTTCACTTTGAGAACAGCTTTATGAAAAAGATCACTTGAAGATCTTCATCTTCTACTGCTTTATCAGAATATGTAGGAGTTGTGGGTTTTTATTTTTTTTTTGTTTCTTTTAGAAGAGGTCCTGCCCGTGAAGCAGTTTTTTTACACACTGGACACCTGTCAAGGCTAAAGAGCACAGTGGAATGTCTTATTTCATCTGTACATTGCTTAGCAACTTGATCACAACCAGCATACTCATCTGCACAGGTAAAATCATGGATCTCATCAGGCCTTTGCTGATAACACAGCACACAGGCCCAGGCAAACTTCCACTACACTCTCAAAAGTGCAGGCATTAAAGATTAACAATTGAAAGTAAAGGAGAAAAAAAAAACACAGAAAGCTAAAAAAGCACAGGGAGTGAAAAGATGCTGAAAAGCTAAGTCATATTTAATAAGGCATAAAAAATAAGGTGGTAAGGACAGCTCTACTTAGATCACAGTCATACTGGACCAAACATGCAACAAGCAGAACAAATTAAAACCAACACTTTGGTTTCTGCCTGGCCTTCAATACATCTGTACAGATAAGAGCATGCTTAGTTCAGCCAGATCAAAGAAAACATGTTACACCACTGGCTCCTTATCGTGTTTCTCCGGCCACTTAAAGACGTCCAAATTCAGTGCCACAGTACTCAACACCACACACAAATCACGCTCTGATTTCCATTATTTAAGACCATGAATCCACAGTCCGATGAGCCCTAGAAGTGGCCGTGGAGACTACAACTATTTAAAAAGGAGAAGGATGGGATAAGTAGAAAGTGGTTACGATGTTTAACATTTCACAACTTTCTAATAGCAAAAGATCATCTAGGCAGCTGGAAATCTGATTGCTTCCCGATCTCACTGCATGCAGCACTTATATCCAGCTTTAAAGGTTTGTGCTGTCAGGCCTGTACACCTGATTATTTTTCAATATAACAGAATCTCTCAAGCTACTCTGCAGGTAACTGGCTTTTGGACATTACTAATATTTGAACACCGTGAACATAAGGTTCAACATTTCAAGATTAATTTTATTGGAAAAAAAAGTATACACTTGTGACTAAACCTAGAATAAAGCGGACATGATCACCACTCACTCTAGGAAATAAAATTTCATAGCTGATTTTTCAATGGACTTCAGATTTGGTAGATCTGTGCTGCATTACATTGCTTCATATCCACATCACAACTCTATGTAAGGCCATCTGAAGTTTTTGCACTAGTATTTGTCGACTGAAAAGATTTTTAAAAATCTCAAGTGGTATCTTCAGTTTTGAGCAAGAAAGACAGTGAGGCCCTGGAGCGTGTCCAGAGAAGAGCAACAAAGCTGTGAGGGCTCTGGAACACATTCTGGAGAACAGCATGCCCAGGAGAGACCTTATCTCACTCTACCGCCTGAAAGGAGGTGATAATGAGGTAGGAGTCAGCCTCTTTTCTCAGGTAACAGAGATAGGAAAAGAGGTGATGGCCTCAAGTTGTGACAGGGGAAGTCCAGGCTGGATATTAGGGAGAATTTCTTCTCAGAAAGAGTGGGTGAGGCTGCTAGGGAGGTGGTGGGGTCAGCATCCATGGAGGTGTTCAGGAACCGTGTGGATGTGGCGCCGAGGGTCGTGGTCAGTGGGCATGCTGGGAGTGGGCTAATGGTTGGACTACATTATCTTAGTGTTTTCTTCCAACCTTAATGATTCTATGAATGCTTACTGCAATGCTTGCTTTAACAGAGACATTAAGGTCTCACCCCACATGACGAAGCATCTGCCTTCCACTTAACATTACCTTTATAAATGCAGGCATGCACACACTTGAACAAAATTAAGTTACTTTAAAGGAGAAAGCCTATAAAATATATCTCTCCTTCTAGAAGGAAGCAGTAGTTTACCTTGCAACGCGGATATTAGAACAGCTAACTTATTAGAAACCTCAACACACCTATTTCCAGCTCTTCAGCGGGAGGCCAGATCAGGAAAAAAACGGTTACAAAACCAGAGCTGTGAGAGCACCGTAGCGGCGTAACAAGGCGCTCGGCACGCCCGTGCACGCTGCAAGCACTGGCTGCAAGCACTGGCTGCAAGCACATCAGCGAGGCTCCAGGCCGGCAGGTCCCGGCGCCGCAGCCCCAGCCCCAGCCGTACCCTGCCGGTCCCCCTGCAGCAGCACCGAGCCGAGCGCACCCACCGCTTTCTACACGAACGCGAAGTACCGAGAGCCACGCGGCTCTCCCCGCCTCGGCTCCGCCCGCTCGGGACGCCTCCAGGCGCTTCCCGGCCTCCCTCACGCCGCGATCCGCCGAACGCGGCCCCGCGCGGACCCCAGGATGCTAAGAGGGCCGGGCTCCCGCCCCGCCGCCCTCCTTCCCTCCCCGCCGCCGGTACCGTACCCGCCGCCCGACGCAGGCGGTGCCCGCCTAGGCAGCCGCTCGCTCCTCCCGGCGCATCTTCGGCCGCGCTGCGGCAGCGCACCGTGCCGTGAGGCGGGGCCGCCCTCCAGCCGGCCGTCGGTTCCGCGGGTAGCGCGGCCACGCACTCCTCGCGGCGACCGCTTTCCCGCGTAGGGAAGGGGGGCGGTTCACACAAAAGGCGGCCGCGGGAGCGGGGCGGGCAGGGCCGCGCCGCCTCCTTCCCCTCTTCCGTCCTCCTTCGCGGGCACGACGACGACGACAACACCACCGGGCCCCACGCGCGCCGCCCCAGCCCCTCACTAACCACGCGGCAGCGGAGCCCCCTTCCGCCCCCGAGAGCCTGCCCGGAAACGGCCGCCCACGTGAGCGGCGGCGGACAGCGCGCGCGGCAACAGACAGCGCGCACTTCCTCTCAGGGGCGCCCCCTGCCGCCACGGAGGTCCACCCAACTCGCTTCTTCAAGCGAAAACGATTCATTTTTGGGTTATTGCTTTGTTGTGTGTGGTTCTTTGTAGTGTTAGCTTTCTTGCTAACACTAAGATCGGAAGCAATTGTTTGTTTTTTTTTTTTTTTTTTTTTTTGGGAAAAAAAATTTTTTAGTAGTTTTTTTTTTTTTTTTTTTTTTTTTAAACAAGGGTTCATCTTCAGGAGTACACTTGTAAGTTTTTGCTTACACCAGCCCCATGAAGTTCTCAAAGACATTTTCAACTTTGCAGCGACACATAATTTCAAGCAGGAAATAGACTTATTTTGCAGTCAGCTGCAGAAATGGTCTTCAAGCAGTCTGCAGGTCCCTCTCTGCCTTCTTCTCTGACCACAGTAGTCAATCCCACCTCAATGCAACTCAATCAGGTCGCTGAAGTAATTACATTACAGTCCCAATTTGATCCTACATCAGCTACAAGTAAAACAGCACTGAAAGCACTCAGCACGCAAATTCTCACTTAATTACCAGAATCTGAGCTCTCTTGGCTCAGACTTCAAATTTGTACTACATACTAGGATCGCTTTCACACCTTTCTAAGCTCAGCAACTCTACCTTTTGAGTTGTATCTCATTCTGGCTTCCATCCTTCACTATTTACCATTTTGGGAAGCAAAGTCTTCACACAATAATGGGGAGATGCAGGGTTATGAGTGTCTCTCTTACCTCCTGCCACTATGTACTCTGAATCTTTATAGGAAGTGCTAGAGGTCATTTAAAACTTGTTCTATCATGTTTCATTCTACCTGCAGTGACAGAAGGTAGGTGTTAACAAGTATACTAAAAAGAATATTTTCAGTGAAACATTAACAATATTGTGCTCCATGAGAATATTTTTAATTATGTTTCTAAAATGAACTTAGGTAGTAACATTTCCTCTCACAAAAAAAAACAAAAAACAAGCAAAAAATAACCCCAGTATTTGCATTTACAAAGTAGAAAAACACTTAGAAGAGTAATTTCAGTGAAGGCAAGGCAGTCACTATTAGCATTTCAGGTTTCACATATAGTACCATACTTTCAGACATACTGTATGCATTATGTACATTGATACCTAGATCAAATTCACAAGATGGCCTGCTGCTTCAAAAGGGATAACCAATTCATTACTGAGAAAGACAGTCCTAGAAAAAACAGGAAGAAAAACAAGAGGAAACTAGCAATAGAATGAGACATTGGCTTTAAATTGTGCCAGGGTAGGTTCAGGTTGGATATTAGGCAACATTTATTCTCAGAAAGAGTGGTAATGCATCAGAACAGGTTGCACAGGGAGGTGGCGAAGTCACCATTCCTGGAGGTGTTCAAGAGAGGTGTATATGTGGCACTGAGTGTCATGGTTTAGTGGGCAGGGTGGGGATGGGTTGGTGGTTGGACTTCTTTTCCAACCTTAAATGATTCTATTTTATAAGAGCAGAACGTTTCCAGAACTATAACAGAGCTCATTATAACCTATACCTACTAAGCCTTCTGTTGCACAGTCAAAATTTTCCATTTCCTGTCAGTTCACCTGTGAATATCATTCTCTTTTCCAGTTTATACTTTCTAAGAGATGTTCTTCAATTTTGTTAAAGACAATTTCCCCAAAGCTCTCTGATGCCTCAGTAAAATATGGTGAACATAAAGCTGAAAGAAAAATCAATTCCCACTTGGTGGGTGTAATTTTTCTCGTGTCTCAGTGATATTGTAACAATCAATGTATAACATCATATACAGTCAGTAATATTCCTTAAGTATCATTGATACAGTGCCTTTTTTTTTCCTTCTCTTTTAAACCACACAATTCTGGCACAAGTTAGATGTTATCCTTAAAAATAGGTTCTGGAATAGGTATACAGTTCTATTTTTGTAGTAGGTATACAGTTTTCTGTTAGTGTGAGAACATACCAAGCCATCACAAAACATTGGGAGACAGAACAAACAAAATAATCTAGCTCTTTTAGAGCCTGTATTTGCACCAGAAAAGAAAGCTTTAAAGGGAGATTAATTGTACAACTGAATGTGCTAGGTTAGACATTCTTTCCGAAAACATTTCCAGAAGAATACACTTAGTCATTTTTGCATTTGCTATTTTGTCTTTGAGAAGTACTGGCACTCAGCAGCACATCATTCAAACCATTCTATATCAGTGTGCTATGGATTCAGAAGTCTTTCCATTTTCAGCATGTGCTTAACGGACCTGAGGAAAAAGAAATGCTTAAATCCAAGGAATTCCCCCTTAATTTTATTTCCAGTAGGAAGGATTTCACAGCAAGTGAAAAAAGAAGCTGTTCCAAAGATGGCCATTTACAATAGCTGAATAGTCTATTATTTTAATTAATAGAATGTTCCACACTATGAAAACAAAAACATGAAGCTGCTATTATTGCAGATACTTCAGGAAATTATTTGTATTCCATGTAAATTCTAAGATGCTTTTACTGATCAAGCACATCTTCATCAAGTAGACATGAACACTGTCCCTATTATAGTGAAAACAAGAGCTACATTTCCACCTCTGTTTCTGATGAGAACATATTTAAAGGCATTCCAAAGATTTTTCACTATTACTTTAAAGCAGTAAATGTTTTGTGTTTTCTTTAACTGTCAATGAACTGTTTTCATTCCTAACTAACCATACACCTTAACTGCTGCTTTCTTTGTTACCTTATTTTTCATAGCATCTTGCATTCCAGGATGCGAAGATGTGAAAACACAAAGATGAGGACTCTCAATTTCATCCAGATGTCCAAAAACAGTAAGTTAACATTAAAAGGTTTGTTTGCAATCTGGCTCCACCATGCCTGTATCAGGCCAGCTTTTGACTACAATGCTAAAGAATTTTAATTAGAAGCAATGAATGCTACTCAGGAAGCAAAATTGACCCACACAATTTAATTTTTTTAAATTCTTTTCCCCAAACATAAGTCTGTAACCATCCAAAACATTTTTCTATCATCCTACAAAATTAATAGCAGCTAGCAGACAGAATCTCTGTCTATATACAGTAAAAAAAACTGTAACTATAGGTTAAAAAAAAAAAAACAAAAAAAAACCACCTCACTTTAAAAGAGCATGAATTGAAAGACAGTATAAGCCAGCTTTCACTTCATGCTTATAGTGGTAAAATAAGAGAAGACAAAAGATTCTTTCACTATCAAGTCAGCATTTCTTAAGTATACTCTGGTTACATCTCTTGAAATATATCTGTGAATTTGCAAGCAAGTCAACCTCTGCTGAGTTTGCTAACACTTCCAGTTAACTCCTCTCCAAAAGTTACCTATAATCCATGCACCTAACTCGGAATTGAACTGACAGCACTGTTTTGTTGTAGTTTTTAATCTTTATCGAAAAACAGGAGACCAATTCATAATCTTTACATGGGAGGATACCCCTAATTTCAATAGCCTTTCAGTATGGCCTTGCAGCCACAGGGGATAATTTGACTGTTTGCTGTAGGATGCATTTGTACTGCTGACTGCTGTAGTGGAAGAAAAGGTTATTAGTAGTCAACACAGATTCATGCTTGACCAATCTGGTACCTTTCTATGATGTAGATGGGCAGATGGGGGAGAGCAGTGGAGAGGAGCACTACAGAGGAGCTGGGTGTCCTGGTGGACAGCAAGCTGGCCATGAGCCAAGCAGTATGTCCTTGTGGTCAAGGAGGCCAATGGGATCCTGAGGTACATGAAAAAGAGCATGGTCAGCAAATCAAGGAAGGCTCTCCTTTCCATCTGCTCTGCCCTGGTGAGGCCACATCTGGAGTATTATACCCAGTTCTGGGTTCTCCAAGAAAGACAGGGAACTTCTGGAGGGAGTCCAGTGGAGAGACACAAAGGTGATAAGGACCTGGAGCATTTCCCTTATGGGAAAGGCTGAGAGACATGGGACTGAGAAGAAAAAACTAAGGGGGACCTTATCAACACTTATAAATATCCAAAGGACAGAAGTCAAGTGGGTGGGGCCAGGCTCCTTTCAGTGGTGCCCAGAAACAGAACAAGGGGCAGTGGGCACAAACTGGAACACAGGGAATTCCAAACAAACATGAAGGTGACGGAACACTGGAGAGGTTGTGGAGTCTTTTTCTCTGGAGATATTCAAGACCCATCTGCATGACTTCCTGTGAAACCTATTCTAGGGAACTGCTTTAGTAGACTAGATGACCTCCAGAGGTCCCTTCCAACCTCTACAATTCTGTGATTAACTCTTACAAAGAGCCTTAAGAATCAATAAGAAAAGATCAGACTGCTAATATGCAGTATGTAAAGATATTTAGGAAAGTAACGGCTACTCATTTAAAAATAGAGGCCAATGTGAAAGGAAACAACATTAAATTTAACTTTTCCATATAGAATAATAAGAATTTCAAAACCAAATTATTAATTAGAAGAACATCATACAGTATTTGGATATAGCAAAATCAGCTACATTGAGTTCATATTAAGCAAAAGAATGATTTAAAACTTACAGAAAGTAAACAGTGCAATATTAACTCTGCTAACTAGCATGTCAGTGTGTGCTGCCATTGCTTGGTCTTCTCAGAGTCCCACTTTCAGTCAGGATCTTCACAACGTTTGGAATATCCATTCCTTTGTCAAAGGTAAAGCAAAAAAAAAAAAAAAAAAAAGGAAAAAGAAACTAAATGCTTTGATAATACAATATTTAAAAGCACAAGTGATAGTAAAACATTTAGACTGATGACATGAGTTTGGAGCCCTTATTAAGTGAGAAATACACTGTTACTAACCAAAATGCACTACATAATTGCCTAGAAACTGTAAACCATATACCTATGAACAGCTGCACTGTTTCAGTTAAGGGTATGTCTATCCTCCTCAAGTCTGTTACTGATTTTCAAAGATAACAGAATCACAGAATGGTTTGGGCTGGAAGGGACCTTTAAGATCACCTAGTTCCAACCCCTGCTATAGGCAGGGACACCCTCCCTCCAGACCAGCTTGCTCAAAGCCCCATCCAGCCTGGCCTTCACTGCTTGCAAGAGGGGGCATTTACAGCCTTACTGGGCAACCTGTTCCAGTGCCTCACCACTCTCACAGTAATGAATTTCTTCCTAATATCTAATCTAAATCTACCCTGTTACAATTTAAAACTATTTCCCCTTGTCCTGTCACTGCCTCTATGGTTGTTAATTAGGAAGGCATTACCATAAGTGCTCTGTTTTATCACTGTACCAGTAAGACAATGGCCTCTCCAGAGCACGAGCAAGAAGTTTATATTGCTCTGATGAAAGTGATGGCCATTACTGTGGGGGAGGGAGGAAAGTAGTATAAGGGACAGCTCAAGTGGTAAGAACCACTCAGTGACCAGTGGTACAAAACACTAAGGGAAGAATAAGAACAGGGCAAGTATGTCTGAAATCTGGTGGATTGTAAGAAAATTACATTCTCCCAGCCTCAGTTCTTCTTTAGAGCAGGCAATTTCCAAGTCTGCTATGACAGACTTTTCAGTATTGCTTGGTGGGTCTCACACTGTCTGACTCAGGTGACATTTTAATAACCACAGCATCCATAGATCATCCACCTACTGCATGAAGACAACGTTGAAATTGGGTTCTCTCTATACTCTAAGTTTAGGAATCTGTTATTTCCTATGTCTTTTGATCCATAATTGCTATTTCCACCCATGCATGATTTTAAAGATCACTTATAACTTCAGTAATCTCTTTTTCAGGTGAAAAGCAGTTCTAGTTTTCTATTGTTTCTTATTTAGAAAATGTTCCCATATCTTGCTGCCTTCTCTAAACCTTTGCAGCTCTACAGTCCTTGATATGATGTAAGGGAAATGGAACTGCATGTTCTATTCCAGATATATACAAAGCATGTGTATACACAACAACAAAATAATGACTCTCATCTTACTTTTCACTCTTTCCTTAATTCTTTATACTCAGTTTGTTCTTCTGATTAGTAAGTTGTTATTCCCACTCTCTAACGAGGAGTATTTTAACTTCTTCAGTCAATCAACACTTTAAATGCCTTGAATAATCACAAAATTTTGTCATCCAGATACTCATCCTTTTTCCAGGTCACTTAAACAGCAAAGAGATTAAGTACAGGACTACAGTTCTACTGGGACCTCCTCATTTGCTATCTGTTTATTTTTTAAAGAATGCAAACACTTCCTTCTTTTCCCATAGCCACTCAGTTCTGTTTGAAACCTCTGATCTATCAAAAATATCTATGAAAAGCTCCCTGGAATTCCAAACTGACTGTATGAACTGGATAATCTTATCTGACTCCTTTGCTGTCCCATTTCAAACATCTGCAGGAAGTCTATATGGACGAATTTTCTTCTTCATCTCTAACACCATCACCCTGAGTGGATCATTTATCCAGGTGCTCACTAAATTCCACCCTGCTTTTCTAAATAGTTTCTATTCACCTCTCCAACAGAAGGTGGTATTTTCAAAGACCTCCTAGATCCCTGTACTGCCTCTGCACAGAACAGAATTAACTTTCTCAGCAGCCCATGTGGTGCTGTGTTTTGGATTTGTAGCTAAAACAATGTTGATAATATGGCAGTGTAATTGCTCTTGCTAAAGACAGCTTTCACAAATGCCAAGGCTTTCCCATTTTTTCTCCACTCACTACACTTCCACTGAGTAGGCTGAGGGTTGGCAAGAGATTGAGAATGGACACAACCAGGACAGCTTCCCCGACCTGGCCATAGTGATATCCCACACCATCCAACATCATGCTCAGCAATAAAAATGGGTGGAGATGAGCTGGGGGACGTTGCTCCTTTCCCCCACCCCCTTCTGTCACTTAAGAAACTGTCCCAAAATGCCTACATTGATTTACCAGTTATCACATAAATGAGATTCATTTTTTACCTAATAACAGTATACTTGATTTTAGTTTACTATTTTTTACCCTGAGGATGTTACTGTGCATGAATGAAAAAACAATTAGAAAAAAAAGTCTGTGTTTAACATCTATGTGAAGGGGCAGCCTAAACTGGCTCCTGTAAAAATTAAAAGGGAAAAAGCCTCCCCAGTATCTCAAAGTTCTTTGCCCCATATAATTATTAACATTTCACAGAGCTAAAATTGTTATGTACATTCTCACACACATTTGTGTCTTCAAGTATACATGAAATACCTCTGAAAGCTGGATTTGTAGCTGCTATTTTATGTAGAGTAGCAGTAACTTCCTCAACATTCATATTTCTCACGCTGTTCAAAAATTCAGCAGTGACGTTGTTCTCATATGCTGTGTCCAAAGAGCCAGTTGAAAAGTTTTGCAGTTCATCTTCCTCATTTATTGATAAGGACCTTTTAGCCGATCGGCTGCTTGAATTGTCTTAAAGAAAAAAAAAAAAAAATACTGTTTTTCAGCTAGAGAAGATTCTGAAGGCTCTTCATTACTGTTATCCAAATAGAGCTTTTCAAAACAAACATTTCCAGTCTAGCATAGCAGCATCATCATTAATAAGGCCTGCATTCAACTTCATTAATAACATTTTCACACAACCGAAGAGTCCGAAATGATTTCCATTTACAGCAAATCCTGAAGGAACATAGGTGGCAGGTGGGTGAAAACTCCTTGTGTTATCACTTACAAAAAGCAACTAAGAGTTCAAATTCTTTCATATTGCAAGTAATTGCAATTTTTATTATTAGCACCGTATTAACTGAGGTCTCAAAAGTTCAGCTTTACTGAAAACTGCCACTGTATTGAAAAAAAAATGATACGAAATAGATACACTAGTACTCTGGGCATTTTTATCTCCAAATTTAGGACAGTAATTCCAATCCTCTCACAGAAATCCAAGATTTTTTTTTTAAGGCTTATCAGAAGCACTGAAGTCAGGCAGTGGAAACATGCAAATATTAAACAAAACTTTCCATAACTTTGTTTATGCTACCATCTTGCTTGGACTAGACCTGCATTAAGCCTCTTCTCCACCAAAAACAGAAAAAGATGTGCCAAAAAGACCAAACAAAACAGAAAAGCTATACTTTGATAGCCTCTTTAGAAAGAGCTGCTTTTAGGAAAATAAGAACTGATCACACAATTAGAGTAAGATGAATGCTTATTAATAGGCTGCCTTTTCTATACGTCTGTAGAGTATGAAAAAAAACCACCAAAACTATTAATCTAAATTACTTGGCTTTATTCTGCTTTTAAGCTCTACTTTAAGAGAAGCAGAAAATAAAAGCAGTTTTCTGGAATTTAATCTTAACTAGTGTTCTAATATTTAGATTAAAGCAATTTAAGAGTGTTATGCTAACATTACCAGTATCAGAATCACTAATATCTGCCGAAGTCAGCTCAGATTGTTCTGTAGAACGTTCCAATGCTTCTTCTCCATTACATTCATTATCTAAGAGGTCCTACAAGTTTGAAAAAAGTTGTGTTCAGCACTTCATCAAAATAAAACCCTAAAATGACAAAATGCTACACTTTAGTGACCACAAAAACAGATGAGACATCACAAATTTGAAAAACAAAAAAGTTATTTGAAAATAACGTAGCTGGCATTGAACTTCTATGCACACATTTCTCATGGCATCTGTCTATATCTAAAAAACACTATGTATTGCCAATTGTTGCTTATGGAACCAATTCTCAGCCTGCCAGATTAAAAAAGCAAGTATTTTAAACTCCAAAGATAATAAATAAATAAATAAATAAATAAATAAATAAATGTCTGTTGAAAGAAGTTCAGGACATGGAAGTGTTTTCTAGGGTCAATTTATTTTATTTTTCTATAGCTGTTGGGCTAGAAGTTACACTTCAAAACAATCAAGTTCTAACTGAACTATCAGATTTTGCCCTCTTTACATATGAACATAAAAATCTTCTATGAAAGAACAGCAGGCATAAGATGAACGTAAATTTATTAAGGAAGTTAAAATGAGTAAATAATGGGAATTACAGGCATGAAATTCATCTTGGAGAAGTACTGCCTTTTTGAGGCAGCAAGAAAGTAGTAAAGATAGAATATCACAAGGAAAGAAACATTGCAATAGCATTCTGAACTAATTAAGGCTTTTGATGACAAAGCAAAACAACTGCCATACACTTTTTTTTTTTTTTTTCTGAATCATATCCTCTCTGATTCTCTACAACTTGTTTGGCTGATACTTATGTGGCATTTTCCTCTTAGCCTCTCCTTTTTAAATAAAGAAGTAGTTATGTAGCTGGAGTACCAGGAGTAGCTGCTGTGGCAAAGGAAAATTTTGTTTGACTCTGAAATTCCATCAGAAAAGTCAAGAGGCAAAAAGGGCATGGTTTCCAATCACAGATATGTTCACTGGATTACCAACAAGAGGACAGTTCCTACCATCCCTCTTGGATGTCAGTGTGGAGTCTGAATGTTACAATTTCACGTAATACGAATGGGAGAAACATGGGATACAAATGATTACCACAACAAACTCAGAGAAGAATTCAAGACACCTTCATATTGCGCTTATTTAAAGACAAGTCAGTCAAAAGCAAGAACAGAACAGCAGGAGGGACTGGGTTTCTGATAATACAGCAATAAAGAGAACTCAAAAGGAACAGCCTAAGAGTAGGAGCAAACCAAAAATTGTATAAGGAAGAAAACTGATATCAGTAATGTTAGATTATACATTAGTGAATGAAATGCAGGGCAAGGCTGGGAAAGGAAATATAGAACAAGATTGTCAGGGAGGTCAGAAGAGATGAGAAAACCAATGGTTGGGATTAAAAAGGAGTGAATTAGAAGAAAAACTTAGATGCAAGGGAAAGCATGGGAAATATGGGCTAAAATGCATTTTGGCTTCTTCACAAAATATTAATTTTAAAAGCACCTTTGAAGACAAGCACTGAGACTACTCAACTGAAAACCTGCAAGTTTATCCTGTCATGACTTCAAAAATTCTTCAAGCATAAAACAGTCAAAATTTTCAATGCATCTGCCATGACAATTTTAACTATAAGTAAATTATCTGTAATAACAAAAATGCCTCATCACATGAATCTACAGATTTGAAGAACCAAAACCTCATTACTTTTTTTGATGCAGCTTGCTGACGATATTCCACCAATGCATCTGTGAGAGTCTGTGTGACTTTTAGGATAAAAGCAGCATCATCTTCATTCAGTATCTCAAAACTTTGCTGGAAAAAAAAAAAATAAATCACAACTCAAAAATGTTTTCCTTCGAAAGATACAAGTATCAGAACATACAAACAAATCCTGAAAGAACCATTTCATTTTTATATTTCTATTCTCCTGTCAGGTATGGCTGTAGTTACAAGGTAAATAAACTTTCTATTTCCCAGAAACCACAGTGGGAGGGAAGAAATGGGAGACGGTCCTAACAGAAGACTGCAGCAGCTATCCAAAACAGTCATTTGAAAAGAAATAACCCTAGAATGTTCCTCGAAAAACATGCAGGAAAATGCTTTCCCTTATGCAGGAAAACCCTTTCCATGTTTTGATCTCTTCTTGAGCTATTTGCATTTAAGTGAATGTATACAATTTCCTCCCTGAGGCCAGATAGATTTTTCCTCAATTAAAAACTATGCAGTAAGAATAATCACTGAAAAAACTGGGAATTATTGCATGATATTGTGGGAATCAAATGTTGTTTCTGCATTAGAATTGGATATTATTTTTATTTCATGATCTCTGCTATCGCAGTTTTTTTTTGGGGAGTCCTTCTACTTAACTTGGGGAAGATCTGATAGTTTACATCACTTATCCTCTAGACGAACCTTCCCAGGAATACACACTCTATATAGGTGTATATATATATATATATATGCTGTCATACACACTGCAAGAATATCCTGCACCAGATCAAACCAGAGAACTAGTCATGGCCTGCCCGACGAAGCGCCTGAAGAGACATCGGAAGGCCTGGCATCATCCCCCAGTGCTCTTTGTTTAACGAAGGCTTTAAAGAAAATCACCACATCAATACAAGGAGAGCACGGGACATCTTGGAATCAACAGGATGGCTGCTGACTGACACCAGATAACAAATAAATTAACAAGTAAATAGCAAATGTAAACCTTCCGATAAGATTGTGAACCTGGAGTACCCAGCCAGAAACAGGGAAGGGGGGAGGCAAGGGGGAAAAAACAGGGTCTAAAGGCTGTCATGTTGTGTCCATAGGCGCGCTCCTGTTTGCGGGACGCCCGCCATTGCAATCGCGAATAAAATCTGCTTTTATCAGAGATACCGTCCTGACAAAAATTATTTGGATATTTCCACCAACATGAAGAACAAGTCCAGAAGAATCATTAGAGCAGATTAAAGCAAAAATCAATAGAAACAGATAATGCAGTCTGTGAAAACAGGACTGTAAATGCTAACACTGCACAGTTTGCAGTCGCAATCCCAACAATTCTCCTCCTGTTGTCAGAGGACAATCATGCTAAGAAAGAAGATGCACTACTAGAAAGGTACAATCTTTACAGTTTCGCTTTTAAAAGGGAAACGTGTATAGATATACAGACACACATAGGTACACACACGATAAATACTGCTTGAATTGTCACGCAGTAGTTGACTCACACTAACTACTGTTAAAGATACACATTGAGTTCTTAGTGATGCTTTTAACAAAATCACCATTTCCACCACTTACCACTCCTGATACGAATGTGTAAACAACACACGTTTTTGACAACTCAGAACTCAGCTGTTCTGCCAAACTGTTTTACAACCTGAGGAAATGGAATTTATTTATTTTTATTTTCTAAGTAAAACCACATTTCATCCCTTGAAAACAGCTTCTTCCCTTTGTTCCTATCTCAAATATTTTAGTAGCACTGATTACCAACCAACTACTAGATAAGATCTTGATATTGACTAATTGCTAATCAAAATGAGTAATTTTTGAGCACTCAGCAATTCTGTGAATTTTTCAAAAATGACATTGCAAGCCTTAAGATGTAATGCTTACCAGGTAACTCAGCAGTTCTTCCTGACTAGTGAATTCTTCAGCAGCTGCTGCAGATGCTTGCTGTTTAACATAAACAACATCTATTAGGTGCACTATTTAGAACTGAAATAATAATTATTATGGTTATTCTAGATGCTTGCTCTAATTTAATTGTGTGCTTGTACAGAAAAATGTGCTTTCACAACAAAACCTGAAAAAATATTTTTAAAGTTTTGCATAGTAACTCATGGGTAATTTGTTGTTGATAATATTATTAATTTGAATAAGCAAAAGCAAACAACATTGCCATATATTAATTATTATCCCAACTATGTGTAAACTGGAACAATCCATTAATGAAAAAATATTCACCTCAACTTCCTCGTTTTCTTCTTGCAGTTGTATATTGGTCTCACATCTTTGGATAGAAAACATATGCTATTTCTTTTGTTATATTAAATAATACACACAAACACTCACATGCACACACAGATTCTCCACATGGTTGATCTATCAAGCAATTGATAATCAGTTTAAATTATTGACATACTACACTTTGAAAGATGTCTCTGAAAGGTTATCGTTCCCTTGCATACATTTCAGAGGGCCCAGATATCACTATAAAGATTAAATATATATATATATGTATATATGTATATAAAAATATATATATGTACATATATATGTATATACGTAGCATTTTATAGAAATACTGGACATACAAAGACTGATCTGGCTTAAATTTATTAACCCGTATTTGCATGGTTCTGCAATTACAGCCTTCCAAGATCATGATCTCCAAGGATACCCATTGGTGCCTGGTGAAACCTAGATGTGAATGCCTGAGATATTAGCTCTCTGTATGGGAACTGTTGAGTCATGGCCTGAACCACTGATGGAGCACCTGGGGAAAGGACCCAGTCAGCCCTGGGAGCACAGGTGAAGGCAATTCAGCTGTGTGACTGGAAGGGATGGAGCCTGGCTGCACCTCTCTTAGACCTCATTTAAGGGCTGACTGCAGCTGGGGAAGGATCTCTTTCTGGAGATCTCCCCTTGGTGAAGCTTTCTTCTGTGAACCTGGACTGTTGTAATATGGGGGAGCAATCTTCTTCCCTTCTTTTATAGCACCTCTCTATTGCACTGGTCCTTCCATCATCACACCTTTGTTGTAATGCTTTTCCTGTGATATTGATCTGTCCGTTCCTTGCTACACTCCTTATTTCTGATGTTTTTACAAACTGATTTACTCTCCAGATTAAGAGCTACTACGGTCCTTTCAAAACCTGACAAACATGAAGATTCAAAAACATGGACTTGAATTTGTTAATTAATCCTTTTCCTTAATGTCTGCCCCAGAGGAAGACGAGAGTCTTATAGAAAGACATTTTTCCTTTTACTGTGTAACAATAAATAAGCAGAAGGTGCCAGCTCTTCATGGCTGATAGATATGCAACCAGTTTAAAGTTAGGAAACAGGGGATTTTTAAATCACGAGGGGAATGTTGTTCTTTAATTTGTAAAACAAAGTTTGTGTATTAAGAATAACACCGTTGAAAAGTAATCACATCTAGAGGAAATATGAGGTAAATTTACATATTTTCTATTGATAAGTGAAGCTTACAGCCATGCACACACTTTCAGAAGACGTGCATTCTACTACATTAGCACCCACTCATTCTTCTCAGTACACTCCATGCAAATCCACTGTAGACAGTCATCATCTAGAGCATTTCCCTTCAAGTAATTTAAGGAGTTCAGGATTTATCTGATTTTGTTTTACTTTTCAGAACTGCTGCCTTCTTCGGTGAGGTTGCCTTTAGTGCTTTCAACAGCCGTGTTCGTTCCAACCTTCTCATCTGGTATTGCCTGTTCTTTCTGACAGTGTTCCTGCTCCTCTTGAACATTCTTTTCTTCTAAAGGCAATAAAAAACTGTATATTTAGTAACAGTTTTCCAAAATTCTAACTTAAATATTCCTTGCTTGGATTTTTTTTTTAAAAGCAATATTAATGAAATCTGAAGGTATAAATAATCTAAAGAAATAAAATCAAAACCAGAACCTAAATATCAAATACTTGTGCTTCGTGGCTGAACCAAGTCTATAATTCTGACCAGAAATATTCGGAATGAAAATAAATAAAATGTATTTAGATGGTAGCCCACTTCCCCCTCTGACATTAAGTTTACGACAAGCAGTATCTTCTGACATGGCAGGACTTCTTCCATTACATGGCATTCACTAATTTTAACACTTAATTCTGTTGTTTTCAAGAAAATATGTACTAGTCAGACATTTTACATGATCAAATATATACATATCTACTTTACTTTCTTTTTATTCTTCTTGTGCCCTAAACAGTATGGCCTGCAGCTTGTCCCAGTTTTTTTGTTTTTTTTTTAATCCCGACACTGAAGTGTGTCAAAGTGTGTTCAGTATGTTCAAAAAAGAACCTGGGCCCCTTGCTCCAAAAATAAAGTAAAAACAGTTAAAAGTTCTGCTTATGAATTCCGTTTCTGTTCTAACATAACCAGCTACAGCAATTTTAAGTAAACCTGGACAGTTTTCTTCACTAGGATTATTCTTTCTGCCTGCCAGACCTCAAACCCCACACGCTGTGTAAATACAACATCTACAGCAGAGCATTGCTATTAAAACCATAAACAAGTACATACCGAGTAAATTCATGCAGTGGTACAAGTTTAAAAAACAAAACCACTGTTCTCTGACCTTGAATCGGATCTGGCAATTTTCCATCCTTATTTTTACAGTCTATTCCTTCTTCATTACTAAGTGATGTATCCACATGCTGAACTTTAGCTTTTGACGGGCTATCATCTGCATTAGGATCTAAACAAACATGTTTGAAATGTAGCAAGATGGACTTGATATAAGTTAAAAGAAAATTATTTATAGTAGTTCTGAAAGTTCACCTGAACTGTAACCAGCACTATTTCTGTGTATTACTAGCTATAAATACAAATAAGTTTGTATGCATTATTATGTGACAACATATAAGATACTAACTAAAAGCTTTAACTATTTTATACCCAGGCTATAACTACACACAGATCTCTTTCTTAAAAGAACTAAATACTATAATACATAGCAGAATTCTATACCAGGTGCAAAATTAGACTCATTAACTGAAAGGATTCTGAGTAGGATTTAACTTATTTCAAAGCTCCTATCTAGATTTGAAATGGATAACTTTCCTTTTCAGAGCATGACACTGCTAATTGAGATCATGATAGAAATCATCTCCACATTACTTCCATATTTTACGATACAGTTTACATATTAATATGCATTAAGATTAGTACATTAGTTTTAATCCAAGTCTCCAAGCAAGTCCAAAAAAACAGAGTTGTGTAACAATTCTTATCCATTTCCTTGAACAGCACACAACTGCACTGTCTGTCCGCCCTTGTTGTGGACAGTTGTGGAATACTAAACTGAGTGGAGAAGTCTCACAGACACCATGTTCCTACAGCTTCCTGAGCACCAATGGCTGGTAGGACTGAAGGCTTTCTTCCACAGGTAAGAGACTTACACCTGGCTTTTTGGACTGCTTGGTAAATGTACACATTGAGCGCCAGCCTGCTCCTTCTGCCTAGTTCCCCAAAAAGCCTGTAAGTAGCTACTAGAATTGTTACCAGGTAAAAATATATATATGTTTCTGCAAAACGAGGAAGACTTTTTAGTTTTGTGGATGAGGGGGAGAATGGAAAGAAGGAGAGAGAATGCTGACATAAATAACAGGTCTCTCTAGTAGCTCATGGAGAAAAAAAAAGCTGTTCATCTAACAAATTTTCAGTATAATAGACCTTACAAAACACAGCTAACAACATTTCACATAAGCTCATTCTGACCAAACCTTTCGACCCGCCCTGAAATAAAGCTGTTTCAGAACAAGTTTACCCAAGTCAGAAATGTACGGGTTACAACCCAGTGAACACACTTACATTCTTGCCATCTTTTCCTGATTACTGGAGCTTCTATAACAACCTAAAAATACAAATAATTATTGCAAATTATAAATTAAAATGATATCTAATAAAATAGATATTATAATTACAACAAATAAGACCCAGTTACGTTGGATATTTTGCAGATTAAATCATATATATTGCATTAAATAGTTACTGTGTATTGGTTTGACCAGTAACATTAAACACAACAGTGTAAAACACTGAGTAGACATTCAAATAAAATATAAAATAGCTGGATTATGAAAGATCAAATCAAATAAAAATATCAAATACCAAATTAATAACAGGTTATGCACTCTATACTTCAAACTTCCTTAAACCAATGATGAACTTGTTATGGATGCAATTCAACTGTTCTGTTTTTAATGTGGGTTTTTTTTTTTCAGAGACAATCTACAGCATATCTGTATTATATATAATTCTATATGCATCAAGAAAAATCTGAAAATAAACATATACATGTATATTATTTCCACAATCATGCCGGAGAAGCATTAATCACATTATGTCGGTTTGCTTGCAAACAATAATATCCTGCGTGCAAACAAATTCCATATGTAAGAATCTACAACTTTGCCAGAAGCCAGACCTTGCATAATTTAACAAGATTTGGGTCCTGTACAAAGACAATACTTATCAGCATTATTAGCTCTTGCCAAGAAGCACTGCTTAACAAGGATGCTGCTGACAGACACTGAAACCAGTACGAATTTAAGGCATAGCATAAAGACTGATAAGTATCTCAATCAAGTTTTTTTAAAACTTTATTGTGGTATAAACAACAACTGAAAGCAATATGAAGACATCTTCATAAGAACATGATTCTAACAGGAATGCCTCACAACAGTTTACACTCATGGTGCTCCTACGAGCACCATGCCATTGCTGAGAACCTCAAACCCACCTGCAAACTTCCACTCCTTACTCACTTTTTAAAATCTGATTCTTTTGTCAACAGCCACAGGATGCTAACAAAGCAGAAACTCATTTGTGAAAATATAAAAAGCAGTTTCCCAGCAACAATGAAACAAGTTATTTTGCACATGCAATTGGGAATTAATTACATATCAATATAGATATAGATATTCTGGATGTTGTGCTCCACACAGCTGTGTTTCTGTAGGCTCGGGTAGCTCAAATACTCTTTCAAACAAGAGAAATACTTATGATGAGAATGACCAGTAGAAAATTGCATCCAGGATACTCTCAAAAGTAATATTAAGAAGATAAAAGTACTTCTAATAAATGTTAAAAGGAATTTTAAAAAGTTTTCCTACCATGCCAAGCATATCCACCCATTATAAAAGAAATAATTTTCAGTTTATTTATAATTGTATACATTCTGAAATTTCTTAAAGAAATGTACCTTTAATTGTTTTCTTCCTTCCTTCTTCTCAATTGTTAATGCAACTTGCCTGACTTTTCTGTTCAGTTCAGAGCCTTTACCCTTAACTTCATCAGATTCTGCTATCTCAGGATAGTGTTGTTTCTAGATAAATAAGGAAATGGAAATCATGACGTCACACTTTATCCCATGCAACTTTTTCAAGCTTTGCAACAGCTGATGCTCATAGGAGAAAAATCAATTTGTGTGCATACAAAACAGAAAGTATTAAAATGTTTAAGTACATAATTGCAGAAAAACTGGGAGGACCAAGGCCAAATCTTCTGCTCAAAGCAGGCTCAACACTCAAATCTGAACTGGTTGCACAGAGCTTTGTCCATTTGCTCTTGAAAAGCACTGGAGACAGAGATTCCATGATTTTTCTGGTCTGTCTGCTCTGATATGTTTGACTGTCCTTGTAGTGAAAATCTTATGTCAGGCAGGAAATTTCCCAGCTTGAATTCACATTCGTGCCACGCATCTCCACAAAGGGCTTGATTCTGTCTTATTAACAACCTCCTATGAGGTACTGAAGGACCAGATTCTCCTGTAGCTTTTTTTTCTCCAATCAGAACAAATCCAACTACCTCATCTTCTCCTCAAAGGAGGAGTGCTTCTCATCTTGGCAGCCCTCCACTTGCTCAGCCTCATCAGTAACTTTCTTGTTTGCAGGAGCACAAACTGTATTCTAGATACATCCTAAGAGATAACAAGAAAAGGGAAATAATCACTTCCCTTCATCTACTGGCTGTGCCCTTATTAGCAACACTGAGTTCACTGTTAACATCCATTGATGCCAAGGTACACTACTTAGTCATCTACAGATGGCCAAGGCCACAAGGACCTCTAGTTCTCATTCAGAACTAGCCTGTCCCACTAAGGCTAATCCAGCCCAGGTATGAATTAAATATTATCCTTGCTGAAGCATTACTACTATGTTTTATAGTGTTTAAGAATATAACATAGATGCAGTAAGCTTCAGAACTGAAGGAAAACAGTTCAAAGCTAACAAGAAATACAAGAGCTAATTGCATGAAAACCATCAATACAAGTCTCACGGAGCATATCCAGCTGAGTTAATGAACAAGACCAGCATGATGTATAAGAAGATCATCATTGCAGAACCAGTGCAATATGTCTCATAACATTAGCTTCTGAAAGATGGAACAATTTCTTCATTGGTCCAGTTCTTTAAAATAATTTTAATGTTTATAATATTAAATTAAATATTATTATTTTATTATATTATAAAAATTTATCATATTAAATTAAATCACACTAAATAAAATATTATTAATTAAAAATCTACTTGTAGTCAATTACAGTGATGGATCTTGTTATTGGTGTTGCTGGCCAAACAAAATAAAATGAGCTGACAATTCAGTGTCAGCAACTCCCAGGTGTACCTACTGTTGATGAGCTGAATTCTAAATCAATTTTTTAGAACATAAACTAATTTGCATGCTTACAGCATAAATACATAAAAGCTTTTATAAGAAAATAACAGCCTAAAAACATGTTTTTTTTAATAAAAGATACAATTTCCAATTTCTCTAGTTAAACAAAACAAAATCTACAACGACAAAACAAAAGTATTTTAAAGTAAAATCTTACCAGGTACGCCAGTCTGTGCTTGGAGCCACAAACATGCATGAACATGTTGCTCAGTCCTGTTTTACAGTGGCACAGTTGACACTCATAGAGAAAAGGAAAATTATCTTTTGATCGATATTCAATTATATAATTAAGTCCTGCATTGATTTATTAGAAAAAAAAAAAAAAGAAAGAAAGTTTGGAATTGTGATGTTTTTTGAAACAATGTGTTCTATATTTTGGAGCTTAAGAAGCAAATAATCAGTGCTAGCTACAAAAAAGATACTAAAGGAAACTGTCAATACTGCATGTCAAACACATGAATTTAGATTTTCAAAGCTACAAGTTATTCTATCTTCTGGCTGTCTTATCTTCTAGACTTCTTCAACATCAAAGACAAAAAATGTCTTTAAGATGCCTTATGTCTACCACACAGAACTTGACACAATGAAAAAAAAAAAATTAATAGAAACATAAAAAAAAAAAAAAAGGACTCAGAAATGAATCTATTTCTCTGTACATTTTAATATATGCCCCTGTAGTTATTTTTCCTGTCCATTCCATTCTCCCCTTCCTCCTCAGGATGAGCCACTACATCAGAAAAAAAACAGAAAGAAACTGACTTAAATGAGTTTTACTATCATTCCACCTTAGGCTGTTTCTAGACCACAAAAACATTCCATGTTAAATCCAGTAATGCAATAATGCTGTCACTAAGATGAGTCCCTGTCATACCATAACACTTTGCATCAATGTACACTCAGAAAAACTAGATAATGTATAATAAAGGCTTACATTTAAAAAAAGAGCCCAATATTCTTCAAAGATAAACATCATACAAGCAAGCAATTACACTATTGAAAACTCTCACCAAGTGCAGGTTCTGAATCTTTACATGTATTAAGCTGTTCTTCCAAGGTCTGTCCATGATACCTTTCTGGCTTAGCTTGCACTGTAAGATAAAATTGCTTTCATGTAATCTCACATTACAAACTCACCAGTCAGTCTTCATAGTCTCAAGTCAGGTCACAAAACTCCAAAATGAAATGAAGTCCTCACTCCAACCTCTGGCCCAGAGAACACCTGCTAAGTAATTCACACATAAATGAATCCCTGCTTATAATGGGCCCTACATCACAAATCAAGTCAGCTATCAAGTAACATAACCCTAAAGTCCTATTTGCACTTTCTATAATATCGAGCTTGCAAGTATTGTTCTAAGTGTTATCATAAAATGCACTGCAGATCAGAAATAGAATTGATAGAAATGAACTCCAAATGACCTTCTGTGGTTCAGACAGCTGCACCTCAAAACATTTTCTTTTGCCTATTTCTTTTTTTTGTTTTTTTTTGGCGGGGGATGGTGGTAGGTATAGAAGGGCATTAAGCATTCTTACCGTAACCAGGAGGTTTCAGAGGTGCTTTCACTCGGTCCCCTGTACCACTTGCAGTTTTAACTAAAACACAAACCAAAACTAAACTAAAAAACCCACAAGTGAAAATTACAATGTGATGTTTTTAGCAAAAAAAAAAAAGAAAAAAGAAAAAAAAGACAATACAGATTTATACCAAACAACAGCACGTGTCTTTATTAACACAATGAAGCAGGCAGAGGAAGACCATCTCAATCATTAGCTATCTCACAGCACAGGGATAAGCACATACCAGAAAATTAAATTCTTAGAGAGTAGCTTGAATTGTAAGTAATTTTGGCCGTAATTCAATTTACATAGAAGGCAATCTGCAACAAGGGAAAAGTCCGACTGATTCTCTGCAATGCAAATATCTCTTATTTTATAATTAACAAGCTTCAAGTCATAAATTTCACGTCTTCTTGATCTAATACATCACAGCTGTTCGGTTTAAGTCCACTGAACTTGAGACAATTAAACCTCTTGCCTCCCAGAGTACTTGATTCAGCCCATAGCCATCCTACCTTTTTTAAAAGCTCTGCAGCTATCTCCTCCCCAGCCAGATATTTTTTCTGTCTGCATATGGCACCTGATAGGAGCTGCAGAACCTTAGGAAAACTACAATAAAGCAACAAACTCATAATATGAGTTGTGCACTGTACAAAGCTGTAAATATATTTTGGTGCATCACAGAGTAGCAGAACATCTATAGGTAGGCCCTCGTTCCTAGTGGAACTAGACCAGCACATAAAAAACTGGAAAAGCTTTAATGATAAATTAAACCTATTAAAGTCCTTTGCTTCAGCTAATTATTAAGATCATAAAATCATAGAATGGTTTGGTTTGGAAGGGACCATTAAGATCACCCAGTTCAAACCCCCTGCTATAGGCAGGGACACCTCCCTTTCGACCAGGCTGCTCAGAGCCGCATCCAATGCTTCCAGGGAGGAGGCATCCACAACCTCTCCAGGCAACCTGTTCCAGTGTCTCACCACCCTCACAGTAAAGAACTTCATCCTGATATCTATTTTAAATCTGCCCTCTTCCAGCTCAAAATAATTTCCCCTTGTCCAGTCACTACCTGCCCTTATAAGAAGTCCGTCCCCAGCTTTCCTGTATGCCTTTACAGGTACTAGCAGGCTACTATAAGCTCCCCCTGGAGCCTTCTCTTCTTTAGGCTGAAGAGCCCCATCTCTCTCAGCCTGTCCTTGTAGGATAGGTGCCCCATGCCTTTTCATCATCTTCATGGCCCTCCTCTGGACCTGCTCCATGTCCTTTTAGCATTGGGGGCCCAGAACTGGACACAGCACTGAGGGGTTAATAAGCTCTTTTATAAACCAAATAAAAAGTGTGCATTGAGCAGGTACATGGTTTGGGAAGCATGATTTTTTCAAATGTATTCTAAATCTTGAAGATCTCAAATTCTCTGATGTTTCTCAAAAATTAATGGAGGGGACCGTCAGTATTGCAGCCAATTAATCTTAATAAACTTATTTCGTATTATTATTATTTTTTTCCTGTAGGATTATACAGTTAAATCACTAAAGAACACAAGATAGGTCTCAAAGCACAAATCTCGAGAAAGTCTTTTTTTCCTTTTTGTTCCTCTAAATTGAGACAGGCTGAAAGGAACATCTATAAATAAAATAGGAAGTAAAAAAATCTTGCACTTACCAATGCCATGAGCCTTCAGGGCTTCTTCAACCTAAGTCATCAACCACCAATGAAGGAAAAAGTCACTCGTGATTCAAAAAATAGCAATGTTGAAGTTTCATTGTTAATAAAAGAAGTTAGATTAACACTAATACTCTAGATTACCTCAAGAAAATTGTATTACACTCAAAAAAAGATAACTAGGCAAAAATAAGTACATTATTTAAATATTTCCATTCTGGACTTATTAACAGTCCTATATTCTCCAACATTCTGATGTATTCTGTTTCCTAATCCACAATACAAGGCACAAATTTTTATACACCTTTTCTGATGTTATTAATGTACAAAAAAAAAAAAAAAGAAAGATTTCAAAGCCGTATTCTACTGTCAAGTAAATCTAGAAAATCTGACATAAGGTGCAGTGAAGAACTGGCCTTACCTTCTTGTGCTTGAATCCAAGGAAGTGAGTCTGCAAGTTTAATGCGGAAGCACACCAGATTTTGCAAATCTAGGTTAAAGAGCAGAAGTATTTCTAGCACTGCACGTAAGCCAGCAGAAAAAAAAAATAATAATGCTTTAGAACAAAAACACAAGTTCAAGGCTCTTAAATTGCCAGAAACTTTCAATCCATCTGCTGCATCTACAACTTCCTAACACTTAGCTCCTGACATGCCTATGACTCTTCATATTCCTGCTCCTTGAATCCTTTTAAAAGGATAGTTCTGTGTTCCTGATCTTCACTGAGCTGGCAAAAAAGTGACACAAGAGTAAACCAAAGTTGACTGCTTTATTGTAGAAAATCACCAGGTTTGCTGGGTCACACTACAGGGCGACTGTAAATGAGCAAAGAATTGAGTTGGGCTTGAGGAAAGGCAGGAGCCAAAGCACCTGAGAGATGTGGGTATGTGGCTTAACACTCAAAGTCTGGTGACCACAGTGACAGGGTGAGGCCTGGGGTGAAACCAGAAGAGCAACCACACCTCTATATCAATCACTCCTACATTTCTTTAATTAACAACACAATAAGATTAATTAGTGTCCTTCAGCACAGGATATGTGACCCAGTCCCAACTCCTAGCATAAATCTAGTCCCTTTGGCAACAGTTTGTTGAGATGAGATGCTCTGTTTTCTTGAGCGGAATGATGGGTCGGTCTGTGGAATATGGCCCAGACAGAGCCTGCTGAAGAAGGGGAGAGGTTGTGCAGGACTGGAGAATAGGTCAGGGTGTACGTTCTGTAGCTGCCCTCTGATTGATAACAAGAACTGTCCCTTGCCATGCAGGTTGGATAAGGCTGTAAGCTATGCCTCTGTTACACCATTCCCTCCAACTGCGTCCATTTACCTTATCTATGCCTAACCACGTACAGCCCGGTACTCAAGTCAAGGGCCTGAGTTATGACCAGAAGTTATCAAGGAAAAGTGAAGTGCCACCTCTGGCAAAAACATGGCAACCATAAAACCCTGTGATAATTAACCTAGGAACAATCCTTCACATTTTAGGGAACTGAAAATGGGGTATTAAGGAACCAATGGAAGTTGAACCAAAGGAAGAATGGAAGTTCTCCGCTTTTCAGCAAAGTCAACCCCTGCTTATATCTCATGTATGCAACAGCTTCCTCAGAATTTGATAAATTGCTTTGGTGCACTTGATCTGTGTCAGTGAAGTGCACCATAGTCACTGTCTTTTTGCTGGGTACAACAAACCAGAGAATGGGGTGGGAAACTCACTCATTCTTCTTTCCCCAATGGCAGGCACATCTGTTTCAGCAAGGACTTGCACTTCTGTTACTTTGCAGATGATACCCAGGTGAATTGTTAATACAGCTTAATTAACGTCTAGCCTTAAGATATTTAGCATGAATGCAGCTACTGTATTTATCAACAGCACTACTGAATCTGCTTAATACATTGCCTATATAAACTATCAACCACTCAACTTTGCAAATCTGTTTCAATAAAAACCCCTGAGAGGTTTTAACAGGCATTTGCTGTTTACTGACTCTGGTCAGGGCAGTACATAATCCTTTGGACAAAAATGATTGACCAAGCCTGGGATTAAGATGGGGCCTAGCTGCATCCAGACTCCTCTCAGAGAAGGAACTTAAAGAGCAAAGGGGGACCTTTCTGAGACTTTTGATGCAACAGAAGAGCTTCCCCAACTAACCAAGCATCATATATTTGTTTATATACCTGTCCTCTTAAGCACAGAGATCTATTTTGGACAGGCAACTCCTATTACAACTTCTTGAACATCATTAATAGCAATAACCGATTTTAAACTAAGAAATGATGCTTGTGTTAACATGTTCTGTATTTGTAGAACACGTAGCAGCAAGACCTCACAGTTATTGTTACTTGAGATTCTGAAGTTCATAGCAGTCTCTGAAAATATCAACTGTTCAAGTTTGGAAAAATAGTGCAACCTTTAAACTTGTAAGCTTGTAAGGATCACATAAAGTGAACAATATGGAAAAGAAAACACACAGAAAATGCAAGAACATTAAAAAATGCTACTCGGGAAATCTGATGTGGGTTACAAATGGAAATACTTCATAACTGAGTAGAAGAGAGGCAAACCAGCAACCTAGCACTGCCAGAAGCCAGAGTGAACACAGCTATTGTTTTCACTGGTATTTGCAAGGAGTAGAGTTGGCACGGGAATTGAAAATCCCTTGTCTGATTTGAATTCAAACCAACAAACCTCAGCAAGTTTTTTCAAGATACTAAGAAATGGCAAATACATTTGTAACGAGGAAAGATAACAGCAAGATAACCTGCATCACCAAGCTTTAGCTAGAAGCTAAAGACACTTTAGTCTCTCATTTACTGCCAGACCCCATGTACTACGTGCACTCCTAGCAGGACATCATTACAGAATCACAGAATATCCCCAGATGGAAGGGACGTGTAGGGATCATTGCGTCCATCTCCTGGCTCCACACAGGAACAGATTAGGTTGTAGATGCCCCATCCCTGGAGGTGCTCAAGCCAGATTGGATGGGGCACTGGGCAGCCTGGTCAAGTATTAAATGGGGAGGTTGGTGGCACTGTCTGTGGCAGGGGGGTTGGAGATTCATGATTCTTGAGGTCCCTTCCAACCCTGGCCATTCTGTGATTCTGTGATTCTGTGAACACTCAAAACTCAAGCCTTATGTCTGAGAGTGATGTCCAAACGCTCCTTGAACTCCAGCTGCCTGGGACTGTGCCCACTGCCCTGGGCAGCCTGTTCCATGCCCACCACCCTCTGGTGAAGAACCTTTTACTAAGGCCTAAACTGACCCCCTGATGCAGCCTCATGCCATTCCCTTGGGTTCTGTCATTGGTCAGCTACAGATCTCCTCCTCAAAAACGAATTCACCACATAAACAGGAAATACTACAGGGGGTCAGTTTCAGGAAGCCCATTGCTAGCAGCAAGTAAACACAAGAAACACGGGCATTGCAATGCAGCACTGTCCTGAAGACCCCACCAGTTGTACTAAATCACTGATCTACACTGATTTTCACCAGGCAGTGCATGCCAGCCTTCAGCCAATGACTGTGTACTAGCATCAAGACGTTTCCTTCCAAGAGAGGAAGTAAGTGAGGAAAGAAGAATCCGTTTCAAAACATGGTCAAAGATTTCCAAGAAGAAAAATAAGCAAACACAACCTACTGGTTCTGCACCAATTTTGTTCAAGATTACAAAAAAAAAAAAAAAATAGGAAACAGAACTCAGAACACTGCATACCCTGTTCGGTTCAATTTTGTCTAGCACAGTTACATGGCATTCATTACAGTTCTCAGCGAGCAACACTTACATTGCAGTAGAAAGGGTTCACCTGCTTCTTTACCTCTGCCTCGAGATCCATAGCTGCCCTTTAGGTGACACAGGAGCTCTGGGAAGACTACAGAAAGACGGCAAGCTGTTATTTCAGCGCCAGGAAACCATCCGCTCCGCGCATCCGAGCCTTACGCATATTCCAATTTTAACTCGTCCTCAGCGGCATTAAGCCCCTAAACCTCCGGCCTAACGGCGGTATTTTTAGCTCGAATGCCACGGAAAGAAGCAGTTCTTCCCCCGAAGCTTCCTTTGAGAGGCACAAAGCCCCCAGAAGGTCACGCGCGCCCCCGAAGCAGAACAAAGCCGAACTACTCCCAACGTCCCCACGTTCCTCGAGGCCGAGAGGCGGCTCCAGAGCTCGAGAGGTCTCGGCCACGCTTCCTGGTGGGGACGGTGCCCGGGACCCCGGTCTTACCGCCGGCCCGACGGCGCCTGCAACCGGTGCGGCGCGGCCGCCTCCTCCCGCGGGGCCGCTCGCGCTCAGGCGGCGGCCGAGCCCCGGCTCACCGCCTCCCCCGGCGGCCGCTGGGAGCGCTGCTGAACGGCCGCCGGGCGCTGTCGGAGGTAAAGCCCGGCCAGGGGCCGAGCTCCAGCGTGGCGTGAGGCGTGAGGGGCTGGGGTGTAGCCGGGTTGCGAGCCCCCTCGGCGCCTTGCGGCAGCGCCGCGCCCTCCCCGCGCCGCGCCTCCTCGCCGCCCCGTAGGGCCGCCGGCTTGCCCCGCGGGGCCGCGCCCGCTGCCCGCTTCCTCAGGGGAGAAGGCGATCCAGCGCGGGCTTTGCGGGGAGCCGCGGAGCGGCGGCGAGCTGCCGGCGGGGGGGAGCAGAGCGGGGCGGGGGCGGCGGCGCTTTGTTACCGGCCCGGGGGAAGCAGCGCGCGTCTCGCCGCACGGCGCGGCCTCGGCGGGAAGAGGGGTAGCGGCTCACGGCCTCCATCCATCCATCCATTCCTCCGTCCCTCCGCGGTAGATGTTGCTGAAACCGTGTGTCAGCTGCAGCCTGTATGTCCGCCCTGGGTGGAGCGTTCTCCTTTGTCGAGCTGGGAGCCGTTCTCCTGCCTCAGCCGAGCAGAAGAGGAGCTAGCGAGGAAAAGGAAGCGAGCTGGAGTTGATGTGGGAGAAGTTCGTGTGCAGGAGAGTCTGGTAGGATTGCTGTTTGTGGCTCTGTGGGGTGGATTTCGGGCGCTGGTTGGGGATGCCGACTTGCATCCATCACCGTGCTTCGCACCAACGGCTCTGCATGGCCGCGGGCGGCAGGATGACCCGTTTAGAATATATCTATCTGCGTTCGTCAAATACAACGTTGGATGTTGCATCTCAGGTCCGTAGGCGAAACATGGTGAATTTAAACCAATAGGTGATCTTGCTTGTTTGTACCACGACATCGATTAATTAGTATTAAAACGGGTAAAAGCGCTCAACAGGTTCTGTTTGCTGATGATGCGTGACAACATTGCCGTCCGTGTCGCGTTGGTGTTCGCAGTGTGCGCCTCAGTCCCCCGCCGGTGCCGCTTCTCACAGGGTCGGGCCTGGAGCACTGGTGGGCGCTGCGAGGAAAGCAAACACCGGAGGAGGAAGGACGCTGTTTGCTGCTGGTTCTGTCATTCACATGAAACATAAACCTGTTGTTGTGGCTTCCTTTGGTCGCGGTGTTTCCCGTGCCTTTCACCCTCAGACACTGAAAAGTACAACATCGACTGGTTTCCAATGCTGCTAATTGCCGATTATGCTTAAAGCTTCATCTGTAATTTAAGTTGGATAGATTTTCTTTTTATTCCCATTAGCTATTTCTGATAGTAAGCCTGTTGGCATTGGCAAATGACTTCCATGTTCACACTGTGAGCAGCTGCAGTTTGCTAGCAAACTGTTATCTGCGTTTTGCTTTCAGTAACCTTCACATTTGGCTTAAGACTTCTACCATAACCTTCTCTTTGCATTTTCTCGTGGCTAAATAAATACCTCGGGGACTGAAGATGCTCACACATGTCAGCATGAAGGGATTTTCCTTCAAACAGGCTTCTTTGTAACTGGCTCGAGTTTGTCTGAATGTGTGCAAGCAAAATAATATGCATAGACCTACTTACAAGCATACATGCACTTCTTCACTTATGCAATTTTTTTCCCCAAGGTATTCTTCCAGCAGATCACAGTCTATACCTTGTAGTCCTCAAGAGAAGAATTCCACACAGTGCTTCAATTTATCAAGAGTTGGGAGATGTTTTTGTTATTTTCAGATAAAGGTTTGTGTGAGAGAAGTACTTAGGACACTGATTTGTTTTAATGCAAGTTATGAATAGAACTATGCCAGGAGAAGATAATTACCGCAAAGTAATTCTTAACAGCACAGTGCAGTCTTACAACCTGGGCACTCGAATCTGAGAAACCTTCCATTCTTTCTTAGAATTTACACTGTGACTGTCTTCATATGCCTACACAGTCCTGTTTACTGCTATATTCGGTAAACAAGTTCAATTTCAACGCATGTTCCAACAGGCTAAATTATATCCTGGGTATATGTCTTGGGAGCATCTTTCAGCCTCAAATGGAAATGATCGGAGTTTGAGAGAGCCCTTTCCCATATTCCACTTAGGAGCTGGTGGACTGTCAGAAGGCGATCAATATCCACAAAGGAAAAGGTGAATATGAATGCATGCTGCACATTCTCAGTGCTTTAAATTGTCTTGCATCTCAGACTGCTTTCAACTCACCTTGTTGAAAATGGGTTTTAATTTATTGAAAGAAGCAAGCTAAATATACTACAGCATGAAAAGAATCTTTAGGAAATTCTTTTTTTTTCTTGAGCACATTAAACTGCTTTTAGCTGTTCCTGAGTTCTTTTATGTATCCAAAGTCATAATCCTAGATTTTACACTGAAGGGGCACAGGCACAGTGTGTATGTGTAGGAAGAATAGCTAGGAATGTACATGGGGGAGGGAAAGACTAATATACTGTATTCTTCTCAGACCAGGGCTTACATTTCCTTTTGAACTGTACAGTGTTTGAGCTTCTAACTGGGGATTTCAGATGCTATTGCAATAAAAATAATAGCAATAAGTGGTATTTTGGGTATAAAAGTGATGCTCCAGTGTTTGCAATGTCTCCAACTATGAAAGAAGAGCTTTTAATCTTATATACAGGGTGTGAACATGTATGAAGTTGCATTTGGAAGTGTTTTAAATATTCACTGACATCAGGTGATCTGTCAGTCTCTGTAGCCAAATATTGAGCACCTTTATCACCTGGAATCCAGAAATCCGGGTATTATTAAGTTTAACCTTTTGAACTCCATTTCCAAAACTGAAAAATTGATTGTTATGCTAATTAAAGGGATTTTTTACACATAAATGTGATCATTTTCAGTCTGAGTTTTTCGCACTCTTTCAAAGCTAGAAGCAGGATTTACGTGCCTCAGTGGGAAACAGCATCATCCCTTTTTGACCCTGTTTGTGGGATTTGCAAGTAAGGTGTTAAAAACGCTGGTGTCTGTATCTCTTGTGTAAACCTTGGGAATGTAGGTCTGAGAGCAGCTGAAGAAGGGAGTCTTGGATAGCATGAGAGGCCTGTTTCGGCTACAGATACGTGGTTTCAGCAGAGTCTTAAAGACCACAGTGCCAGCAGGGCACTACTTTTGGTAGTAGTTTGTCTGTTAGCTTTTTGTGTATATGTTATTGCCTTCATGGAAAGGTGAGAATAGCTCTAAGTATCAGGACATGTTGAGGAAAGGAATTATGAGGATGGTACAAAGAGAATGCTAGTGCAGTGCTGCTAAGAAAAAATATTTGGACTGAAAAAGAGAAAGTATGATGGTGACATCTACTGAATCATCAGGTAATGTTGTGAGAAAAGTAGTGGAAACAGTGGGCAAAATTCTAGAAAATCAATTCATTCTGGTCTTATGTTTACAACTTATGGAAGCACTGCTTAGCTCTTTTTTTTTCTTAGCTGAGAGTTCCCTGGTATCAATTTAGCTTTTCCTGTTTTGTACTTAAGTCCTAGGCTTGAGAAGACAAGTGGTAGTTAAACATGGTGTAAGTCTACAGCAGTGGTCTGAATGAGACCAAAGCTCTTTTTAGCTATGAAATCATAAGGAATAGTGACACACATGCTTGCTCAGCAGTAAAGGGTGAAGGACCTCTTCTTTGCTGTGTGGATGGCTGAGCAGTGCCCAGAGGGTTTGTGGAGCTTCCCTCCTTGGAGCAAAAGAATGACATGACATGGACCTGTTAGAGTGGGTCCAGAGGAGGGCCACGAAAATGATCACAGGGCTGCAGCACCTCTTGTATGAGAACAGGCTGAGAGAGAGAGCTGGGGCTGTTCAGCCTGGAGAAGGCTCCTGGGAGATGTTACTGCAGCTTTCCAGTATTTAAAGGGGTCCCTCAGGAAATCTGGAGGGTGACTCTTTTTCAGGGAATATAGTGATAAGAGATTTAAAACTAGAAGAGGGTAGGTTTAGGTTAGATGTTAGGAAGAAATTCTTTACAATGAGAGTGGTGAGGCTCTGGAACAGGTTGCCAGAGAGACTGTGAGCATCCCGTCCCTAGAAGTGTTCAAGGCTGGGTGGGGCTTTGGACAACCTGATCTAGTGGTGGATATCAGAGGGTCTGGAACTAGATGAGCTTTACAAGTCCTTTCCAACTGAAACTATTCAGTGACTCTGTATGCAGATATCTGGATGTGGACCTGGGCTCCCTACTCAGGGTGCCCCTGCTGGGGCAAGGATTGAACAAGATGAACCAAGAAGAGGGCCCTGCCAACCTCAGCCAGGCTGTGATTCTGTGACCTGTACCTTCAGAGTACAGAGTTACTTTTCGTAATTAGTTCATCATGTCCTCTTACAACCCCCGTCTTCTCTCAGTATCATAATGCTGATGAGGAACCTGCTCCCTCCTGGATATCAGTCAAGAAGGGCTGAGCATGGGAGAGAACCAAACAGAAGTCTTTCAAAAGAGAACTTCATACTATCATTTCTCATAGAACTTCCAAACATTATAGAAAAGAGAGAAGGGAGAAATCAGTTGTATGCATTCAATATGGACAGAAGAGGGTCTTTGGTGTATCCAAGGAAAGACAAACCTGCTGAAGGTGGCTTTGGACTTCAATCAGGAGTTATCAAGGGCTGGATTTCAGAATATATTCCATAGCTCAGGGTTTTGAAAACTCTCTGCATAGAGAAACAAGTTATTAAAAATAAGTTACTAAGTAAATTAAACACTATATGTTTTGCATCATGGCACAGATTATAACAGGCAGTATCTTCCTATTATCGTATACTTCATGTGGAACTGTGTAGCCACTAAATTAGCAGTAGAAGCCAACTTACAATTATACTGTATCTAACTTGAATGTTTTATTATTTACCCTAGAAGTATGCACAAGCTATTCCAGTAAAGAAATTGTTTTGGAATCAGAGGTTATATTTAGCAGTTGTTTTGCTGAAACACAGTTTCTTGATACTGTAACCAGTTATAACGGGTGTTCTAATTCTTTGTTTTTAACTTTTTTTTTTTGGTAGGATTTCTGGCTTCTTGGAGAAACAGTAGAAAATGCAAAACGAAATAATAAAGCCTGCTAAATACTTCTCGGAAGTGGAGAAGAGTGTGCTGCTTGCTCTAGTGGAGAAGTACAGATACGTACTTGAATGTAAAAAAAGTGATGCGAGGACTATTGCTCTGAAACAACGCACCTGGCAAGCATTAGCACATGAATATAACTCACAGCCCAGCGTATCTCTGCGAGACTTCAAACAGTTAAAGAAATGCTGGGAAAATATCAAGGCACGGACAAAAAAGATAATGGCACATGAAAGGCGGGAGAAGGTAAAAAGCATTAGTCCACTTATAAATACTCACATCATAGGGAAGGAGAAGATTGCCAGCATAATGCCTGAGCAAATATACTTTTTGCAGAGCCCACCAGAAGAAGATTCTGAATATCAGCCTGATGCTTCTAGTCAAGGTATACATGTTATTGTGATGGTGCATGTCATTTTCTTTTGTCTGTGGTTTTGCTGCTGAGTCTCATTCAGAAGTCTAAATCTATCCATTTAACTGTGACTGCTGCTTCCAGAAAAGTAATTGCAGAGCTGTGATATTACAAGACTCTGTGTATTTCCTTAGCCTCCCCCTTAAGAGTTAAATGGAGGTTTTCTTTTTCTTGTCTTTTAAGCCAGTTATTGACAGACCTTAAGCTTTGTAACAAGCATCTGATATTTTGGTCCTTTAATAAAGTATCATTCTGTTGGGAAAAGATCCAAATAGTAAAAAATAAATACATAAATAAAAATCTAACAGCAGCAAATTGATAGACAACTATGTGCTGCAAGAGTTCTATGCAGGTCTTCCCTCATTTGTTTTCAAGAAAGACTAATTAGTGTTTATAGAGTTATATGTGATGCTGCAGTGTGCATTGAAGAATGGCACTTCTGTAAAGGTTGGATACTATATTCTTTGTTTGGCAAGCATATAGAGAAGGAATAATAGAAGACTAAAAGGGAGAGCACCTACAATGCTTTCTTGTAGGCTTTACTTTGTCAGGAACATAGGAACATATACAGAAGACTGTTCTTGCTAAAAAGACATCAGTAATTTCATTGTATTTACCATAAGTGGTAATTTGGATTTGTGAAGGAATGCATTTTGAGAGCCATATTTGCAGTGGTTACTGTTTTATTCCATAAATACTTTATTTTCCTTCAATGGAATAGATAGAACCTTCTCAAAGTGAGAACTACGTAATTTTTTTTCCTAAAAATTATACAACACTGTTTATTGGCATGCACAGTGATAAAGAAGGAGCAAGTAGCAGACTTCCTAATATTTCCTCAGTCTGTTGGTGTTGATACAGATGCAGCTCTTTACCTGCCGTTCTTTCATAAAATTATTGCTGGTCACATAGATATTTGGTTTAAAAATCTGCGTTAAGGTTCAGCTCCAGGCTGAAGCACCTAAATTTAGATGCCTACTTACAGATGCCTATATTTGCTTTAGTGTTCTGAGCTCCTGTTACAGCCACAGAGGACTACTGACAGTGCCCAAAGTGGTTCAGTTCAAATCATTATTCCCTCGGTGTTCTGTAACAGAACAGCATTATATAGTGGCTCCTGTATTCTGTGTACACAAGTGTAAGGTTTAGATATATACATCTCTGTAACTTTATTGTCACAAGTCCATGTCTCTCGAGGGAAAAGAGGTGGATACTATAATACTTTTTTTTTCTTCTGTTTTGCAGAGTCGTTTGTTGTCTCAAATAGAGAACTTTGTGATGAAGAGAAAGAGCTGATACATTTCCCAGTGTGTGAAGGTACCTCCCAGCCTGAGCCTTCGTGTTCTGATGTCAGAATAGCAGCAGATAAGAACTACAGAAGCAAAGCATCTCAGGAAAGTGCTCTGAAAAAGATGCATGAGGAAGAACATCATCAGCAAATGTCAATTTTGCAACTGCAGTTAATCCAAATGAATGAAGTTCACGTGGCAAAAATACAACAAATAGAAAGAGAGTGTGAGATGGCTGAAGAGGAACACAGGATAAAAATGGAAGTGCTAAATAAAAAGAAAATGTATTGGGAGAGAAAATTGCAGACCATCACAAAAGAGTGGCCTGTATCATCCTTTAACAGACCCTTTCCTAATTCACCGTAGAACAGAAAGTGGCAGAATTAATCTGACTGAGCACATTTATAAGTAATGCACACTGGAAAGATGGTTTTTTAATGTGAATGTACAGTGACAGAATAGGTGCCCAGCTGATAGTGAACACACTTTGATTCTTAACGTTTATGGCAACAGTGGTAGAGCCTACCAAGGGAAAACAGTTTGTCTGTGGGTAATTCTGACCTGTGTAACTTCCCCTCGCAGAATACCCTGGCATCCTTTTGAAATTCAAGGTATTCTGGGCAGTCATACATTGAGTATTCTTAAAAAAAAAAAAAAAAAAAAAAAAAAAAAAAGGTTTTGAACATCTGGTTACAGTATTTATTTTGATTTCTGTCTCTTCATGTTTGTCTTTTCCTGAATGAAGGCAGGGGTTAGAATTGCTCTCTCCTATTGAGGGAAAAGGTGATTAACAGTGATGCTCAGATTGTTACACTGGGGCACAGAAAAACAAAACAGAACTTGTCCTTGGTTAATATACAGTCCCTAAACCATTCTTTGTAGAGGATGTGAAAATGAAGGAAGTAGCAAAAGGAGCACTGTGGTAATTGAGTGCTTTGCTTGTGAAGAACAACAGTGATGTTTTCTAGCTGGCTGGCTGGCTGAGAGAGTGGTTTGTGGAGTGGCCCTCGTGTTCCCTTATGAAGTTGTAAAGAAGGTGACTTCTTCCCCAAAAGCCACTTGTCCTCTCCTTTCCAGGACTATCTTGTATTCAAGTAGAATGCTGAAATAGGAGGGATGCTTGCTGCTGCCAATGCTGTGTGCTGCTCCCTTGGAGTCATTGTGAGGGGAAGGGCTGCTTAATTATTCATACAGCTCTCAAAATGTGGCAAGTCACCTAACCCACTGGCAAAATCTGCCTTTGTTTCCCCATGAGATACTTGATGGTTTAGCAGCTAACTAGCTACAAAAGAGGCTAAGTAAGACTTGTTGTCTTTTCCAAAGTTTTGGGTGAGAAGCAGTGCAAGGGGGGTCATTCCTGTCTTGGAGCGCTGTTTTATTCTGTTGTGTGTGTTAAGGTGATGTATTTCTTGCCTTCGCTGTCACTGAGGGGTGATGGACCTAATTTGTACAAAAACATTCCCATGAAAGCCCCCACAGATGGGGGCCAAGAATAGTAGATGGTAGGAAAGCACAAATAAAGATAATCCTTCCTCCAGCAATTGATTGTTCTGGTGGTGCAAGGATTAAGAGATGTGAAACACAGAACTCCCCAAAGATTCATTCGTAAGAATTTCTGACGTGTGAAAAACTGTTCTGTAGGAAGGTGTACAAAAATCATTTGAAGTGGTGAGAAAAAATGAACAAAGGCATAAATTTTCAGTGAAAATCCCAAGTATTCCATTGTTCTAAAGTATTTTCAGGTCACAGTGAATAAAGGCACATCCAGACAAATTAACTTATTCAAGTTGAGGTTTGGTACAAAACATCCTTTCATTCCCAGCTGCACTCCTATTTCTTTCCTGGATGTTCTTTTGGTGCAATTTGTTTTGGTATTGGTTTTGGATTTTTTAGTGGGTGGTTTTCTTTTCCTCTTTTGAACTGCTTTCCCTGCTGGTGATTCATCTTTGCAAGCACTGCCATTATCAACCACAATGCTCACAGTGGTTAACACTGTGGTACATGCATTGCTCCCTTCAACATGCAAAGCAAGCACAATGGGAATGATTTATTGCAACTTATTTTGTTTGACAGAGGGGAGTAAAAAAATAAAGGAGCTGCTGCAGTATTTTAAAGGGGAAAAAAAAAAAAAAAAAGGATGATGGATGAAATCTGAAGGCATATTTTTTTTTTTTTTGTCAGGAAAATCAGTTTTCTTATGAATTGGCTGTGTGGAAGAAGCACAGGACTTCCAAAAGAGGAGATAATTATGGACACTTTTTATTCTGCTGAATGGAAACATTACTGTGAGGTAGGACAATGATGTAGAATGATAGTGGAGGCAGAGAAAAGAAGTGAATGGTAGTGAGAACCTTCGTATCCTGAGGTTGTAATATGTAACCTGGAAGGTGAATCAGTTACTTGAGTGGTTATGGCAATTGATTAGGCACTATCCAGAAAAGGCATATGACATTTCTGATTCCTTCCACACTCCTCCTAAGTGAAAGTTATTTGAAACTCTGGCATTGAAACCATGTGCACTAAGGTGTCAAAAGATGACAAATGGAGACAATTCCTGTACTGTGAAAAGAGCAGAAATGGAGAGACAATTCAGACCTAGACAGCATGAGGTAATCCAGAAAGTATCTCGTGGTACTTGAGATAAAGGTAGTCCTGACTCCTAACAGTTATAACGTTCCTCACAAAAGATTGTTTTATTTTTGTACTAAAGTCATTTGAAGTATGCATGTTTTCAGACTGTACTAAGTGGGAAATGCTGGTGTGTATACTTGTTCTGAACCCCGAAGTTACAGAGTTACAGTCCTTACACTGAAAGGTATAACCTTCATTGCCAAAGCTGTATTACTGGAGCAAGGGATCTTGCTGCTTAACACAAACCCTCTCTGTGATGCTCCTTCCTACATAGCAGGGGTGCCTTTAGCCAGGGTGATGCACCCAGCTCTCTGGTACATTTGCAGGGGTTCACACAAGGGCAGGCATCACTCAGCACTCAGTCTGCAGGACCCAGCTGTCTCATTGCAGCCCTGCAAAATGCTAGGTTTGGGGCTACGTTTTCCTGAGTTACACCACATCTAGTGCAGCTGAGGAGATAGTCCTGAACTTTGTTGAAAGATGAGTTATCTTTGTGTGTTTGCAGAACTAAATGCTAGCAGTCTCTCAAGATATTTTTAACCGATTGTAGCTACAGTGGCTTTAATAATGGGTCCTGTTCCTTCTCCCACTCTCACGCTTTAACGTTTCCCGTGTATTCTGTCTGAATTTGTGCTCGGAGCATCATACCTACATGATAACGCTGAAATCATTAACTCCCACACATTAAATATTGTTACTTTGGAGGTGGGTGAATTACATGGGAATCTTAAAATAATATTTTTATTTAGGCAAGTGAGGTCCATGACAAGTAGTCCTGTGATTCTGTGTTTTGAGCCTCTTTGTTCAAAGTTGTTTTTATGATGCACTGATTCACCTAAGGCTTTGTTTTCATAATTGGCTTTCACTTTTCACTTTTCACTTGAATTTTCACCTTCTTAATGTTAAATGTAAAACTCGCACATCGTTGCTCTTCCTGAACTTTGTCTCTAGTTAGATATTCAGAAATGTTTCTGTGCAAATCAGTACTATGTGTACTAAAATTAATACACTAATAAAATAAGCCAAGTAACAAGATGATAGGACAATGTGCAGCAACTGTTAATATTTAAAAATCATTACGAAGGGCAACTCTACATTTAATGGAAAGAAAGAATACCATTTGTTGCCATCTGTAAGCATAGCAAAATAATGTCTTTAAACAATGAAAGTAAGCTTTGATCTCTGTATCTGGTATCAGAGAATAACTTTTGAGCTGCTGATTTAAAGGGGACTTTGCTTCATAGGGTTTGGTTTTTTGTTTTGTCACAGAATTACACACACAGAAAAATGCTGATTGCCTTAAATGCATATAGAAACGTGGACAGATTTCTGGGTAATGAAAGAAAAAACTCCTAGCTGTGGCCCTGAGAATTTTGCTGCTCTGGTGGTGAGGGGATTAGGCATCCCACAACATCATTAGTCATGTTAATAAGACTGAGCAAATTAAAAACTCACAAAGCCAAAAATAAAATGCTGGTACAGTTACAGAGCGAGCCACAAGTGAGGACAGCTCCTGGCTGTCCTTAGAGAGAGCTCTGTCACGTCAAAGAATTCTGCCACACAGTCTTCACTTTTCCTGTTAAAACAGCCACAGGAAAAAGAAGAAAAAAGTCAGTAAAATAGAATTTAGCAAATATCTGTTGCTTCTCCAGAAGAGCTGGCAAGACAAAAAAATGCTACACTATATAAATACTTATATTTAGGGAAAGAACTGTAATGTAATAGAACTAGAGCACGATAGATTTTTAGACAGTCCTTAATTAAATAATGTGTTTTTTAAAAAAATGTTGATTGAGAGTGTGTGGGTTTTTTTGTTTTTTGGTTCTTTTTGTTATTCAGTCCAACTGCAGAATAGTTGTGTGCTTCAGTTTCTGACTGAGTGTTGGGGCACCTAATTAATCAAACTTGTTTGGCAACAGAGAAGTAGGTTTGCATTCAACACAACTTGAGATGGATTATATTCCAGCAGCGTTCAGATATTTTTTCTCGGATGTAAGGGGCTGTTCTTGGACAGTCCTCAATCAGGAATTGGCATTGGATCCAATTTAGTTGTAACTCACTATTCATACAGTGCTAATGAGGTGACATATAAGCTCTTCATGCTCTGCATATAATTTGGTCACGCACAAAACCCATATCTTTCCATACAGTACACCATGAGATGTTGTACTGAGCAACAAACAGACCTGATGTTTCTTCTATATAAAGGCCTGCTATGCATTCTGTGCCACAGTGTAACATGCAGGCAAAATTTGACTTCTGTTTGGTTTTGGACTTTGAAAATTTTGACCTGTTATCCTCACTGAATTTTGTTTGAAATTCCTTTCTCCTATTAGGCACCAGAACTGAAACTCTTGGCTTTATAGCTTCTAAATACCAAACCTATGGACTGAATTGACACACACGTGATAAATTCCATTTATTTGAAAAAAGACCTTGTACATACTGTCACATACTGAAACTCCAAATGCAAACTAGGGAGGTGATGTGATGGATTTGGTATTTAAGCCAGCACTGAAATTTTGGCAGGCTGGGAGTTATCACTGCTGACCTAATACAGAGGTTTGGCCTCTTGACTGCAAGAACAACGATGTCCAATCCAAATGTTGCCTTACCTCAAACTTTCTATCTAAAATGAGGTGTAATAAGAAATTCTTGCCAAATAAAGCAACAGTAGTTTCCAAAATGCATTTGTTTTGATTTGATTTCAAGTACTGCCTTGCCCAAGGGCTCTAAGGCTGGGCCTTATGGTGCACGCTGTTGTTGGCTGATAGCATTTTGAGAATGCTTCCCACACTGGTTTTGTTCCGATTCTCTTGACTGTAATGCTCTCATCTGGCTGTACGCGGTACGATGTGGTGATGCTGATGGGACCAGGGGTTCTCAAGTTGCCTGGCACCGAGTGCCTGCCTCTTTTACAATTACCAAATCGACTATGGTGGATGAATTTGTATGCAAACGAGGGGTCAGCAGGAACAGCCATTTTTGCTA